GGAAATCTACAGGCTCATAGACCTGCGTGTCGAGCACGAGCAGCTCTTCACGGGGGGGAGAGGCACGGCAAAGAAGGCCTGGAGGTGAGTTCAGTTTCATATTTTACCTGAATGCCATTCCACTCACCAGCACAAGCATGTGCACTGAGTGATGATCCAACTATAGTCCTGGATTGCCATTGTAAATCAAGCAAACAACGAAATTGTAGAAAACACCTCTCTGGTGTATAAAAACACAAGACAATAAGACAACAATACAAGACATAAGATGTGATCTGACCTAATGATAAATAAACATCACACACACACACCTGTGTGTGCAATAACATAGTACTGTAAAACCTTGGCACTTTAGCACTAATGTGTGGTCCCTCAAAGTCTGGCCTGTCATGAGCAACATTGTTTGTTGTCATCTCTTTGCTTATTGTATAGAGTTTGTTCTTTGTACTTGTTACTGTTGTTGTCATCTTATTGATTTCAGAGAGATACCTATGTACTTATATTCAACTTAAATATCTGGTGTCTGGGATCATACCAGGGATGCAATAAGTTGACATGTTTCAATCTTCACAGGGAAATAACACAGTTACTGGGTGTGGAGGGAAAGATGTCCCCCGCCCAAGTGTCAAAGAAGTGGGACAACCTTAAGATCCGATACAAGTTGAGATTTTGTACTCATGAGCTCAGGTCACATTCAGATAACGCATTTGTGACTGTTGTTGGATACATAATGTAGTAAATTCTAGTGATTGTATGTCTACATCACACTGACACATCCCTTTTGATATCTTCCAGAAGCAGGCATAGGAGGAGGAGGAGGAGAGTGCACAGCCTGGCACAAGTGGCAGCACCACCACACAGGGGGATGATGGGCCATCCACCTCTGCCTGTCCCCCACCCAAGAGGCAGTGGACCACCAGAGGGACAGTGCTGGCGTTCCTCAAGGACCAGGCTGCCAAGGATGACAAGCGTCTTGAAGACATGAAGCATGACAGGAAGAGGTTCTTGGACCTGTTCGAGGAGGTGGCCAAGAAGTTTTGAGTTTGTTTTTTATTTCCTCCTCTTTTGACTTTTTGTGCTGCAGTGTTTTCAGTTATGCTTTAATTTTGTGTTGATAAGTACCTGCCAGACTGCAGTGTTTTCAGTTTTATTTTGTTATATTGATACCTTGCAGTGAAACTGCAGCATTTGAAGTTGGAATATTTATTTTGTTATATTGATACATCTCGCAATACAAGACACATTTAACTTGTGTACAGTGTTATATGCATTCTATGTCACAGTATATTCACGTCTGACAGTAACAATTAAATGGTTAAGTTGTGGACAACAGTCTTGAATCTGTGTTACCTGACATTCTGGATCTAACAATGATTTCAGCCACACAATTGACAGTGTATGCTCACACATTCCTGTTCAGAGTAATGTGCAAAGGAATGTTGCACAACTCAAACTTAGACAACACAGGCAACTAAGGAAGATAGATAGATGGATAGATGGATGGATAGATAGATAGATATACACACACTAACTGAAACAAAAAAGGCACACTGCCTGTCATACAGTGTGGTGGGCCCGTGTCCCAGGCCTTCATGTCCCCACGGTCTACAGGTAATCGTGCTCCTGCAGCTCCACAGGTTGCACACGAGGAGCCGAGAGCAGCCCTGCCAGTCGGTCTCGCTGGCCATGTCCGCATCGTTACCCCCTCACGGGACGTGGTGGAACCACACCAATGTCCCCCGTTATTGATGGATGTTGATGTAATTTCAATTAGTCTCACCTGGGGGAGGATACAGAGCCACTCTGTAGAGCCTGCTGTTCTTCAGAACTCTGGTGTCATGGACAGAGCCAGGATACCCCACAAAGGTGTTGATGAAGAGGCCCTTCCCATCACATACTGCCTGCAACTGTATGGATGGGAAGAGCTTCCTGTTGAGGTAATCCTGGCCCTCAGGTCCTGAGGGGGTCTTGATGCGGACATGGCAGCCGTCGATGGAGCCCACGCACCTGGAGAACACTGGACTGTTGGCCAGCCGTGCAAAGGTCTGGCCAACCTTGTCCAGTGCTCCGGCGGTGGGCAGACGGATGACCTCCTGGCAAAGGGCTGCTATCTTCTCCACTCCCGTGTGCACCAGCCTGCAGACCGTGCTCTTGGGGACATGAAAGGCCCGGGACACCACACTGTATGATAGGCCGTGTGCCAACCAGTAGAGGGTCACCAATACATGCACCTCATGTGACCAGCCTTGTGTGTACTTTGATGGCAGGATCCTCATGAGGGACTACAGACTGACGCCTCAGTCTGTAGTCCCTCATGAGGTCCCTCTGGCCATCAAAGTACACAGCAAGGACTGGCACATGAGGGTTGAGGCGTGTATGTATTGGTGACCCTTCTATCTACAAAAGACAGAAAGCTGTGTTACTTCCCACACTTCATTTCTTCATGCAATAACAACATTTGAACTACCTGGATCCTGACATATGTTTCACACAGGCAACATATTCCGAGGCCATGATATATGCTTCCTTATTTATTATACATTTTAGTTTATATTTCAATATGTTTCTTATCATATATGGGCCTATTATGAGGATGATATTTTATTTACCTGGCTGACATACATTACACCTTTTGTGTCTGGGCTTGTGCCATGATATCTGATTAGACAACCTACAGCTATCAATGTGTTTTCTGTCTTTATGATATAATTTTACATACTATTCATTGAAGCATTATATGAAGCATTATATTTGTTTGATGATTACCTGTAATAACCACATGGCTACATGCCTCTGAGCTCTCCTGCGTTTAAACAGGTATGCCTCCTCCTCCTGCTGGAGCGCATCCCAGGTGGACAAGGCACAGAGCATAAGCTGTTTTTTTCCTCTTTCCATTTCCTTCCTCTCATTTGTTGTGGATGTGACTGGGTCAGACATTGTCTGACCCTTATATAGCCCTGGTACCTGACATTCTTGCCTAAGGTAATGAGTTGACTGGCTTCAGCTGGCATTGCAGCTGATAGTTTGTGACCACACCTGATTACATTCACCAGCTGACTTGTTGAATGATGGTGAGTTAATTGAATGATGGTGCTCATCACAGTGACAGTGGAATAGCAGGGTTACAGACCGTTCTCTAATTGCCACAAACTTCGGCAAATGACTCACTAACAATGGTAATACATGCAGAAGTGTGTGACCAAGGTTACTGTTACTGTTTTGATCAGCGAATATAATGAGACTTGGGATGTACCCATAGTAACGCCAGACGCTGGCTGCTTTACGGAGCAGATCCAGCTCCAGCGGTGCCGCCGTCATCAGGAATGGACGTCGCTTCACGTGACGCTTCAGGGTAAGGCCGTCTCATGTCTCTTAAACCGACAATGCTCGCTCATCGCTCCTAGCGCTAGCTCCTCGCATTTTTTCCTAGGTGGGAGGGGCTAAACAGCTAGCAAAGTCAGCTAACAGTAGCACTAGCAGTAATTTAAGAGACTTGGGACGCACCCTGTGGGAACAGGGAAGGACTAACGAGGCTGATGAAGACAGGTGTGGCAGAAAACAGGCGGGAAACACACAAAGACAGGAAGTAAAACCAGATATGACACATGAGGAGGGAATCTACAAAATAAAACAGGAAGCAGATTAAACATGATTGAATAACATGAAACAAGGAACACAAACAGAAAACCGAACACCCCCAGTGACTTCAGTTCATGAGAAATGCTTTTTGTTGGACTGTAAGAAAAGTTTTATACACAAATTCAAGGTAACATGTGGTCCACCACACTCTCCAGCTCCTCCTGGAGGATCCTGAGGCGTTCCCAGACCAGATGAGATCTATAATCCCTCCAGTGTGTTCTGGGTCTGCCCCGGGGCCTCCTACCAGCTGGACCAGGAGGATCCTGATCAGATGTTGAACCACCTCAACATGAAGGAGCAGCGGCTCTACTCCGAGCTCCCTCCAGATGTCTGCTCCCCCTATCTCTAAGGCTGAGCCCAGACACCCTACAGAGGAAACTCATTTCAGACACTTGTATCTGTGACCTCATTCTTTCAGTCACTACCCAGAGCTCATGACCATAGGTGAGGGTTGGGACGCAGATGGACCAGGAAATCAAAAGCTTCACCTTCTGGCTCAGCTCCCTCTTCAACACGATGGTCCTGCTCTGCGCCCGCATCACTGCAGACGCCTCACCAAACTGCTGATCCATTTCACGCTCCATTTTACCCTCACTGTGAACAAGACCCTGAGATACTTGAACTCCTTCTCTTGAGGCAGTAACTCTCTCCCAACCGAGAGGGAACAATCCTCCGTTCTCCAGCAGACAAACATGACCTCAGATTTGGAGGTGCTGACTCTCATCCTGACCGCTTCACACTCAAAGCGCCCCAGGTCATGCTGGAGGTCACGGTGTGATGAAGCCAACAGAACCACATCATCTGCAAAAAGCACAGATGCAATTCTGAGGTCCCCAAACCGGACCCCTTCCTCCTCCCAGCTGCACCTCCAGATCCTGTCCATGAAAATCACAAACAATACCGGTGACAGGGGACAACATGGTGGAGCCCAACACTCACTGAGACAAGTTTGACTTTACACCGAGTACGCAGACAGAGCTCTCACTTTGGTCAAACAGGGACTGGATGTTCTTGTAGCAGCGACCCCAATACTCTGTAGTCCTGCAGGACCCCCCACAGGACCCCCCACAGGACCCCCCACAGGACCCCCTGAGGGACGGGGTCGCAAGACACAAAACACAAACATGTGACAAGTATTTGAAATCCAAATGGTCAATTTGTGGGTGAAGTGTTCTTTTAACATGTACAAAAGAACAACATCAGAGCATTTATTCAGTTACATTAAATATCTTTATGGACTTCAGGGGCTTTTAAGAAAAATTTTGGGGGCTGGGGCCCCTAAACCCCCCCTCTGCTGCGCCCCAGTGCAGTTGAAACTGATGGACATGGATTTGATGCCACAGAGAGAGAGTGGGGGAGGCTTTAAGTATTTAGAGTTTTTATTTTTGGTCTTTTCATGAGTTTTGTTGATCATAACTAAAAATACAGATGTGTTTAGTTGTTTTGGGGAGACTTGATGAAACTGACAGAAACATGAAGAGAGCATGCAGACTGCAGACAGAAAGGACCCAGCTTGTTATTAGGTTTGAACTCAGGACACTTTCTGCTGCGAGGCAACGGCCCTGACAACTGAACAAACACATCTCTGAAACTGAAACTAAATAAACTCCTGGAGGAGCTGCTGCAGGGTTAATGTAATCATATCTACATGAAACATAAAGCTTTGTGATCCTCACTGCACACCGTATTACATCTTCATTCAGCTCGTGTCTGTGAAGCCACAGTTTAAGGTGCATTCCAGCCGGTCGGTCCTCATCGTGTGAACGCTCTCTAAACAAGTGCTCTGTGACAGACGGGGGACGCAGTGTGAATACTAAACCAGCTCACACAGAAACTCTCAGCTGATCCTGCTCAGCTCGTCTGTCCAGGAACTGCAGGTTGATCGGTTTAGCGGGACAAAGCAGGGTTCTGGTGATCGGCTCGACGATGGTTCCTGCAGGATCCGGCCTCACCTCGTAGTGTTTTATCACCTTTAAATAAGAAAACATTTGTTTAAGTAGAAATACATGAAATCAGGATATTCATTTGTGTGAGTGCACACAGCTCCCATTCCAGGTAATGATTAGTGAGTGCTCGCCAGCTGACTGAATTATAACGGTGGTTTTTGGCCGAGAACACAGACGACTGATTTGTGGTTTGTATCGATCCCACTGCCAAACACAACACAGGAGGAACAGCCGGTGCTCTGTCCTCTGGTTGGATTGTTACTACAGATCAATACTGTTCTCTGAATGTGACTAAAAAATGAAAACAAAGGTCAATGTTGAACCTGCTCTGTTCACAAGGTTGTGATGTTTAAATGTTAGTTTGGCCCTGATACAATGATCTCAAACATTTCCTGGTGTTAAAGTCACACACAGATTTCTTCATCACACAACAGAGGGAGCGTCGGCCCTTTGACATTTGACGTTTTGTTCACAAAGCTGCGTCCAAGAAGAGATGTTTCACCAACCCCGGCGCCAGAATAAATGTTGGCACTGTACGTTTCTGCACACCACAGATATGGAACATTTGTGCTTTATTATGTGGCTTAGTCTTTGAACTTTACATGTCCTAACATTCCACTGAAGCTGTGGTTAACGTGGTTAGACTGAGGCACAAAAACCACGTGGTTATAGTTCGGAAAACATGTTGTTTTGACCTATAATAGCCGCTTTTGGTGGCACAATCCAGGCTGAAAACACAGTGATGTCTGGGTGAAAACACAACTGCTTTTAAAGTCATTGTCCCTGCAGGAAACGCTTTTCATGGCACCATCCTCAGTGCAAACAGGGCGACAATGCACAAAAAAAAAACAATGACATTCTGAAAATACAACAACAGGTCACTAATATTACCCACGTTTGGTGCTAACTAGAATCACCACCCTGTGGTTGTATGACTCCGCCCACCAGTCCACCCTGTGGTTGTATGACTCCTCCCACCAGTCCACCCTGTGGTTGTATGACTCCGCCCACCAGTCCAGTGTCTCTGACAGTCTCCATCCATGTCAGTGAAAACATGGATGCTTCACACACAGAAGATCTATACAATCAGCACAGTTTCAAGATTAGAGTCACCAATTCAGTATCTGACCAAATGTCTCCCCTTCTGTTCCTGAGATATGACGTTAAAACATGATGATGTCACAGTCAAGCTGACCTTTGACCTTTTGACCTTCATTATTTTATCCTGTTGGACATTTGCGTCAAGTTTTGTCATGGAGTTATGGACAAAAACATGTTTTGTGAGGTCACACTGACCTTTGACCACTGAAATCTTGTCAGTTCATTGTTGAGTCCAAATGGACGTTAGTGCCAAATTTGAGGAAATTCCCTTCAGGTGTTCCTGACATATCGTGTTCACAAGGACGGGGTGTACAGACTTTAGCGGGCGCACGAGGACCTCCGCTGATCACTGCAGTGGTCTGCAACTTTACAAGTATGTGGCTTTGGTGCCACGCCATCCACCATCCACCTGCTCCTGACAGACGCAGCTCATATACCAGGTCACTTTAATAACGCTGATATGATACCTATGAAATGTACGAGTGTAACAGATCTGTGGTTTGCAGAAACGTACGATGATAACATTTTGTTCTGGTCATGAGGAACTGGACTGGCCCGCTCAGACTCCTGACCTTAAAGCCATCCAGCACTTTAAGGAAGAACTGGCCACCAGCCTGTCACCTGATACCAGTGCTGGAGCCTTGTGGTGCTCCTGTGGCCAAATGGGAACAAATCTCTGCAGCCGGGCTCCAACATGTCATGTCTGTGCCCAGAAGAGTGGAGGATGATATGACAGCAGACTGATGCCTGTGGTTCTGGAATGTTCAGCAGTCATATATGGGTGTAATGTTTGGGTCGGTCTGTAGTGTGATTTAAACTATGTGCTGACAGCGGAGCTCCCAAAGGGAATGAAAAAGATTGACCTGAATGATAACCCATGATAACAGGGAAAGTCACTAGCCTGAGTGTCAGACTGAAGCTCGCAGAACCTTCAGTCTGACATGGCTTCCATTGAAGGCGATTTACAAGGGGGAGGGAATTTGATTTTTTCCCTAACCAATCAGTAGAGATCAACGATCACCCAGAATCTGACGTCATTAGTATCCATGCCTCGGGGGTGCCGAAAACAAGCGAGCATTGCCCGTTTAAAATGTCTCTGTCGTCGTGCACGCCCAGCTGCATCGCTGTTAAATCCAGTTTAGCAGCTTCCTTAATTTGGTCCTCCATTAACGCGAGTAGTGGCGAAATACCTCGATAGCATCGTTAATGTGGTCTGTAGGATCTGTAGCGGTCGCCATTGTTGCTATCCTCACCAGTTACCCACCGGCGTACAGCTTGACATCAGCGTGGCGCTGATTGGCTAATCGCTAGACCCCCGGCGTTCATGGGTCCGTCCATCGTTTGGACGAGATAAATCGCAAATTCATTGAAGTATGCCAGACCAGAGATGCAAGCCTGCTCAGTTGAGTGGGCGGGGTCTATGGTCTGGAACCAGGCTAGAAAGTCACAGCAGCAGAGATGAATGAAAACAGCGTCGACAGACACAGTAAATCTGTTCTTACCCTGGACAGGAGGAGATACATCTCCAGCTCAGCCACCCGTCTGCCCAGACACGCCCGGATCCCAAAACCAAACGGTACCGACCCAAATGGGTGCTGCCTGGACTTCTCCTCGGATCCTCGGAGCCAGCGCTGCGGCAGGAAGGCGTGGGGGTTGGGGAAGATGCTCTCGTCATAGGACACGGCGTAGTGGCACAGGTGGAACAGCGTCTGAGAGAGATGACTTCCTGTTATGATGTCATACTGTGGATGTCATTATGTCAGTCAGTCTGTCTGTTTGTCTGCACATGTGAGACACAGCTGTACAGCTGAAGGCTTTGTGATTAGGGATGAACTGACGGTATTATCTGGGCTGATAAAAAAAAAAATCATTTGGCTGATGGCCAGTATTGATGTTTTTTTTTTGTGTGTGTTGTTTTTGTTTAGTTTTTGTTGTTATTTGTTCTCCCTTTAGTTCCCAGGAAACAAAGACATTTTATTGTAAAAAATAACTGAACTGTTTTAAAGTCATTCAGTCCTTCATTACAACATCTTTGAATTAGCACAAATTTAATCACACAGATTTATGAAACAACCTTTAATATGACCGTCTTTCATATGAAAAACTTTTTTAGTCATTTTTTCCAGAGTCCAGTTTTTTATATTAAATCATAATTCCCTCTCTAATATCTAATTATTTTGCTGTGATCAACAAATGTCTTCCAGTTCTCCACCTGCTGATTTCAACACAGATATGTTGTTCACAATGTGACATTATTACTGCGTCCTTTTGTCTTGAAAGCGTCTCCTGGGAGAGCTCTGTTTGTCCCAGACATGTTTTCGGGGACAACAGGGACGCTGTCAGTCTTGAGCCCTGCTTTATAGCCTGTGCAAAACTGATGTGACAAAACAGAAGACGTCGGAGCCATCTGTGAACACCATCTTATTTGTGGCAGGCCAACATCAACCAACACTGATGTTCAGCTGCTACGTTTGTGCCTAAATTAGCTTGTGATGAAACGAGGATCCAAAGTTTCTGAACAGTCAGTAATTTTTTTTGTAACCAGTAAACATTTCAGGACTTGTGTCTTTGTGTCTGACGTGTCTCACTTTTTTGGGGAAGAGATGATCTCCAACCACGATCTCATTTTCAACTGTGAGGCGGGCATTTCCTGGAACCACTGGATACAACCTGCAGACCACAGAGCAGAGGGAGGAGTCAACAAGAGTTTCATCTGTTTGTTCAACAAAAGCATAAAAATCTTGTTATGATTTTGTAAAGTCATCAGATAAATGTCCACATTTGGGCCTCAGATCATGTTACAGCCTTTCAGTTACTGTAAGAACCTTCGTCTTGTGCACTCAGGTGTCCTCTCTGTTAATGTAACACGTATATGAACGCCAATGAAAGCCTCTGACCGTAGCGTCTCTCTGATGATGGCCTTCAGGTACGGCATCTGAGCGATGTCATCGCTGTTTGGCACCTTGTCCCCCGGACACACACTGATCACCTCCTGGTATAACTGCTCCTGGATCTCTGGCTCCTTCGCCAAGTTGTACAGAGCCCACGAGATGGTGTTGGAGGTCTGCGACAGAAAGAACACACCGCTACCTTCTGTTCTCTAAGGTACAGCTTCAGTTTTAGTTTGTGTTCACAGAGTAAGTTTTGTGTGTTTGCAAATCAGGCTGTATTTTTGTGGATATGACTTTACACAACACAAATATAGAAAGACATGTTTGTGGTTAGTGAAATATTTGTGGCTCATGGTACATATGTGTAGATTGGGTTACAAATAATTAAGTCCAACTAGTCCATACCCATTGAGTGCACATTTGCCCACGTACAGTTTCACATGGTGTGTGTTTGGGGTACAGGTCATAGGAAATCGCAGATTAAATAGTCACCTGAACCCATTAAGAAGAGCAATGTATTCAGTTTTTGTGAATTTGATAGTACGATTGCTTTACTGAAAGTACAGTAGTACCATTGCCAATAGTGGGATAGTTAGTGGGCTACAACTGTACATTAGTAGTTGAGGCAGCACGTTGAAAGGCAGATAGTTAAAGTGTTTATATATTGTATTGACTTAAAAGTCAGGCACACTGGTAGTTCACATGGGAAAGGTGCAGCTAGCCCTTGTTGCAGCAGCATACCATACCATGACTTAGTCATAACAAACACCAACATTGGTCCACAGGGGGAGCCACAGCCATCGGTCACATTTTAGCCATTTTGAAGCATTTTTCTGTTGTTATAGCGCCACCCAGTTGCCAATTAGAGTTAAATTTCTCCAGTCACCTTGAGGCATCCTGTTCTACATATCTACCAAGTTTAGTAAAAATCCATATGGCGGTTAGGCCTAGATAAGAAATTATCTCCCTAGCGCCCCCATTTTGTTTGATGGGGTCAATAATGGAGGGGTCCCCTCAGATTATGTGTGGTCATATGCCTACAAAGTTGCGTGGTGATGGGTGAAACCCTTGAGATGTTATACACCTTTATGTGATGAGCCACGCCCTCCGCAATATTCATTGCCTTATAGAAGCTCAGTTTTAGTAAGTTTTCCAACTTTTGCCAAGAGGGAACTTTAGATATTGGTCCCTAGATTATGTTCACCCAGTTTCATGCAGATCGCTCAAACTTCCTAGGAAGAGATCCATTTGAAGTGTTTTTCAAAAAATTCAAAATGGCGGAAAATCTATATAAGCGGAAGTTATGGGTTCTTGAGGCAAATGTGTTCCTCATGAGGAGAGGCATCTCTGTGCAAAGTTTCATGTCTCTACGACATACGGGGCATGAGATATGCCCATTCAAAGTTTGACATTTCAATGGGTTGCTATAGCGCCCCCCTTTGGCCAATTGATGCAATATTGCTTCATTGGCATCCTCCCATGACCCTCTACCACTGTGCCAAATTTCACATGGATTGACCAAGTCAGTGAGGAGAAAAACGTGGAACACACACACACACACACACACACACACACACACACGCACACACACACACACACACACTCTGTCTCCACTCACTGTGTCGACTCCTGCAAGCAGGAGTTCGGTCATGCTCCCCAGGATCTCAGTGACCGTCATCTGATCGCTGAGCAGCAGGTGTGTGAGGTACGCTCCCTCCACATTCTGGTCCAGGTGTACCCTCTCCTGGATCTCCTCCATTTTCTTCTGCACCAGATCTTCAGCTGTGAGACACGATATCATACAGCCTTTACAATCACTCACAGCAGCGCCAACACAGCAGGCTCCTCACTTGTCCACTAGATGGCGAAATAAACACACTGCAGGCAGGGATCATGTTCAGAAGTGGATGGTGGACTTCGGGCCTTAGACAGTCACCAGTGTATAGCAACCTTAAAATGATTTGCTAATGCAGATGAACTGTAGTAAACTTTTGTGACGTTAATCAGTGGCAGAGAACATGAACACAACAAGGCCTCAGACATGAGGTCCAAGGACTGTACCTGGGAAACAGGATGCACAACTGTCAAACTCCTTAAAACATGTTTTAAATGACAGTGACACTGACAGTTTATTAACACACATAAGAAACAAAGTAACTGATTTGATTTGATTTTAGGTGTGACTCTTACTGGGGACAGTAATCACACTTGGACAGTTTACAGTCACAGTGTATCCTGTCAGCAACATCCACCTTCACCTCATGAAGTCAGCTCATATTCTATGTCACTATAGAAATGTTGATAAGATGAAACATATCGGTGGTTTGCATAAAGGCACAATGCCAACATTTTCTCCTGGACTTCAAAAAAAGCTCAGAGCACTCTGAGGGAAAACAGGACGCTGGTCAGAATTCAACTTAAGGCGGTTTATTCCATGTTCAGAGATGACGTCCAAATAAACCCATGTGACTTTGTGGTCCAGACCAAGAACTGAACCCAGAAGCCTCGGGCACCTTTATAACCCTATAATAACAACACTTCGACCCATGCTGACGAACATTTTGGACACGGGTTATTGGCAATGCAGACGGTGAGGTGGATACCTAACTGTAGAGATTGTTGAATATTTGGCGCACTACATTTTTGGCTTTGTATATATGTAGATTTTTAGTACAGGTCCTACACACTGTTTTATAAATTAGACCCCAGATCTCAGTCCAATAGAGCACCTTTGGGATGTGCTGGAACAGGAGATTCTCATCATGGATCAACTGTGTGATGTCATCATGTCAATATGGACCAACATCTCTGAGGAACGTTTCAGCACCTTGTTGAATCTGTGACACCAAGAATTAAAAACGGGGTCCAACCTGGTGTGGGCAAGGTGTACCTAATAAAGTGGTCATGCTTGGATTGTGGTGCTCTTGATTTCCTTTTAACTCAGTTTGATATGATGTATATAAAATGATCTTTCAACCTTGTCACAAACTGTGACGTGCTGACAGGTGAATGTGTGGCCAAACTCTCAGGTGTATTTTTTGTTTTTTGTTTGTTTCAGTTATGGTTTATTTCTGTACAGTATAAAGGAGCAGGCTCAAGAAACTTGCTTGACTTGTAGAATTACATGCAGATAATGTTGGACTCATGCTGTATATTAATGTTTCAGAAAACAGCTTTGCATAAATGAATCTGAACTCATCAGAAACCATCACGGACGACTGTGAACATCATCTGCTACATATCAAATATCAGCAGCCGTCCTTCTGTAACATGCTGCACGCCAGAGTCGCTGGTTGTAATAACTCAAAGATAAAACGTTATTTATAGAATATGCAAAATAAATAAAGATATAAAAAATATACACAATAAATATAATGTTGCTCACCAACTTTGAAGAGATGATCCCAGACCGCCACAAACTTCTTCCAGAAAGGCACGTAGGGCCAGAGGGACTTGGGGAAGAGGACGATGATGGGGGAGAGGCGGAACATTTCCCCCACGGAAAAGATGAACTTCTGGGTTTCCTCGGGCATGACTTCGTTCATGCAGCCCATACGAGTCTCAAACAGCACGGAGCAGATCCCTGCGTTCAAACACACGGCTGTTACACAGAGACTGCTCAGCTCCTGTGGGACACTACAGGTGAGCTGATTAAAACCTGCACAGAGCACATGCACGATGGCCAAAAGTATGTGGACACCTCAACATGGCACCCAGAGGACATTATCATGTTGGAACTGTTGTCAACAGTAAAACATCACTGCAGCATAAAGATTTCTCTTCGCTGAATCTCAGGGGCCAAACCAGGGAAAAAAAAAACTGTCCTAGACCACGTGTACATAAAAGTATGTGAACGAGTGTGTCCACATACTTTGAGCATGTAAAGAATGTGTGTCATCGGTCATGTTAAACAGCCCCTCGCTGTTAAAGCACACAGTCAGTAAACAGACCATCTGAGGAGCTCGCTGGTGTTTAAAGGAACGACGTTTTCAGGAGATAAGATCACTCTCTTGCCAAGACTTAGTGAAGTCATGTCAGTCCATCACATGTCCCACTGGGACTCATGCAGCAACGTTCTTACATTTCTCACTTAATTTCTCTGTTAAGATGAAAAATAAGAGACTCCAGATGTTTGTGTTAGGCCTGTGTTGGTCTGACGTCCAGTGTCAGCTGAGATCAGCTGCAGCGCCCCTGAACAGGATAAGCACTTACTGATACTGAACGAATGAACGACGAATGGTCTCCAGATGCACCGAACGTTGGTAACTGAAGAGTTGGTTCTTTTTCATCTGCTAACATCCACGTCCTCTGACTGCATGTCACCAACTCGGCTTCCTCTCCGAAGCCTTTGTGCTTCACTGTCTCACAGCTTCCCTCGAATCATGGCTATGCCTGGATCACAGGTTGTGGTTCTGCCTGATGCTTCCTGCCACCAGTATTAATAGTCATACTTCTACTATCATTATATAACAAGGTCAGTTATACAGCAGTAACATGTGTAACAAAGTCAAATTATTAAGTATTATAATTACACAATATTAGTTTCAGCTGCTATTACCTGACACGCTCAGGTATGTGGAACGTTCGATACTGTTTCCTCTCCCCTTTTGCTGCTGTACTCCATGGGAGAGGTAAGAGAAGTTGCTCTCATAATAATTTCCTTGTTTTAGTGCTGTTAAGCTGTTTATAAGTTCATTTTTCAGCCAAAACTTATTGTATCATATGCGAACATATTCCTCTGTCACCTAATTTGTGTAGGGCCCCAAGTCATACGGTTGTAATCGATGGAGGATTTGGTTTTTGCTTCTTGCTGTTTGAGGCGTGTCCCACTGGTAGGAGGTCGTGGGGCAGATCCAGAACACGCTTGAGGGATTATATATCTCATCTGGCCTGAGAACACCTTGGGATCCACCCAGAGGAGCTGGAAAGCGTTGCTGAGGAGAGAGATGTCTGGGGTGCTTTGCTCAGCCTGCTGCCCTCGAGACCTGGCCTCCGGATAAGCAGATGAAAGTGGACGGATGTCAGAATTGTCAAGAATAAACAGAGATCGTCTCCAAAGATAGTCAGGGTCTGGGCCTCTTCATATATGATTATTATTGTCACGTACATATACTGTCATATGTTAACAAGCATAGGCAGCGCTCTCTAAACACTTTATAAGGGCAGGTTTATTGTTGTATGCAAACACTGCGGCACGTGCCCAGGGACCGGAGAGGTGCCACTAAGATGGCTGTAAGAAGAAGAACTTTCTGTTAAATAAACTTAACGTAAACACATTTTCCAGAGTGTTCTCCTGGTGTGACAGGAAATTCAAAACTAGAATCACAACCTTAAGGTTTGATGCCTCTGCAAACCCGTCAAACATGGATACTTCACACACATCTTCCCCTCGACAGCACAGATCTGTTGAGTCTTCTGCTCCTGAGTTATGATGCTGACTAAGGGCCAGAAGTGTTTTAAGCAGAACGTTATGATGTCACAGTGAAGTTGACCTTTGACCTTTTGGGTATATACATGTCCTGTCAGACATTTGTGTGAAGCTCTGTTACAACTGGCGAAGTAATTCTTGAGTTACGGCAAAAATGTCTTTTGTCTTTTGATTACAAAATTCTGCATTCAGATCAGTAACCTCAGTAAAAGTGATACCACGCTGTAAATATGCTGTAAATATACTGTTAGTGGTAAATGCTCTGCGCCTCCTGTGTCCTACTAACCCTGTTCTAATGGGGCTTAACAATGCTGATTAAAGGTCATACAATGCACCTGAACCTACCTTGTTATTATCTAATCAGCTGTCAAGGACAACTGTGTCAAAGTCAACAATCACAGACTGCCCTACAAACAGCTGACTGACTCTCTGCTCCGCCCACATGCTGTAAAGAGATCAATGTGTTGTTGCAGTCATCACAAAGCGCTCGGACTTCAGGTTGAGGCAAGTTTGTGACACTGATCTTACTCACAGAGTGAGGTCATGCAGACGGCAGTGAAAGAGTCCAGGACATTTCTGTCCATCTGTGAACTACTTGAGATCTCAGTGGAAAATATTTAACGTTTTACTGCCCCACAGTGATTTGACCAGCCTCATTTCTTCCTGAAGGGCTGAGGTTTGACCCAGAACCACTTGCTTCTGCAGAAGTGTTCTTTGTAAAGCTCCTTCTACACTGTCTGTTCACAGCTGGAACATCTGCCGCCTCGCTGTTCTGTATTTATTTTATTTATTTATTTATTTATTTATTTAACCTTTATTTAACCAGGTGTTAAATCAGTTCCACTGAGATTAAAAATCTCTTTTGTGAGGGAGACCTGGCCAAGACAGGCAGCAACAATAAACAATAAAAGCAGTTCCAGACCAACAAAAACAACAATACAGGGAATTAAACATAAAAACAATCTCAAGAATACACATCATCAAGCACGATGCATCAAAACACTGACACTGTAAAGATTCAGACTCTGTTTCTTTCATTTTAGATTTAAAAGCAGTCAAAGTAATAAGATTATCAAGTTTTAACACATTCTGCAGTGTGTTCCATGACGAAGGAGCAGAATGCTTAAAAGCCCTTTTACCATGATCAGTGCGTGCAAATGGCACATTAAGCAGGAAGAGGTCTTGAGAACGCAAAGAGTACTGCCCCACTTTCTGCACAATAGATATACACAGATAATGTGGGAGCAGACCAAGAATAGCCTTATAAATGAACATGTACCAATGGCACATCCTACGCAGGGCCAGCGCACACCATCCTACCCTAGAGTACAACTCACAGTGGTGAGTGAGGGGTTTGCAGTTTGTAATGAACCTCAAGGAGGCAGGGTAGGCTGCATCAACCTGCTGAAGACATTGTGCAGAGGCATGCATATATAACAGATCACCATAGTCCAGTACAGGTAAAAAGGTGGCAGCAACAAGACGCTTTTTCACATGAAAAGAAAAACACATCTTATTGCGAAAATAAAACCCCAACTTTAACCTCAGCTTCTTCACCAAGCACATCACATGTGACTTAAAAGTGAGCGAGTCATCGATCAAGATGCCCAGGTATTTATATCAATTTACAACCTCTATGATGTTACCATCAAGAGTGACCACTGAAGGAACATTTAGTGGCCCATTTCTGGCATTGCTGAACAGCATGAGTTTCCACTTGTCTGCGTTGAGAACAAGTTTCAGCTCAAGTAAGGTATGTTGAACCACATTAGAAACATTTTGCAAAGATTCAATGGCCTGTACAAGAGTTGACGCACAACAATAAATCACTGTGTCATCAGCATAAAAAAGAAAATTTGCACCTGGTTCTGACACACTTTGACCCAGATTATTTATATAAATAGTAAATAAAAGTGGACCTAATACAGAGCCCTGTGGTACACCCTTGGAAACAGTTACAGTATCTGAGCGTAGATCTTCACTCTTAATGCACTGGGATCTGTCACTAAGATAATTGGAGAACCAAGCAACTGCTTGTTCAGAAAGTCCCGAGTTGAGCAGTCTGAGTTTTAAAACACTGTGATCAACAGTATCAAAAGCTTTAGACAAGTCCAAGAAAAGTGATGCACAATGTTGCTTCTTATCAAGTGCAACGGGTATTGTATAAAGGTACAGTCATGCAATGGGCTGACAGAGTTGTCTCGCCTCCAGGCCGGAGGTAGTAACAGCGTCGAAACGATGTGTGGACCTAGTTTAAACAAAGTAGGAAGCAAGTGTATTGGAATGTTTGTGTTGCTTGGCAACAGTCCAGTCCCAGTCTCCATGCTGTACTCCTTGTGTTGGCAGAGTCAAATAAATCATTAAACAGACAAACAAATCAGAAGCTGTTGTCACTTTCACCGTTGATAGATGGCACTTGTAGAACTGCTGGATCAAATACCACACAGGAAGTCGTGCTGTCGGACTGAGTGTCAGCACGGCTGTGATTTGAACAAAGGTATGAGGTCAGAGGCCGAGTGCTGGAAATAAACTGTACCGTTCATGTGCACAGTTTGCTTCTTATGGCCTGTGTTTTTGGGAATTGACTTTTAATAAGAACGAACAACCCTATTTTTGTGAAGATTGACAGGAATTTAAAAAAGCCAACTGTAGAACATGTTGAGCCTGAAATATCTTCCATGTCAGTGAGAGCACTTCCTGTGAGAAACCTTTAAGCAGAAACTGCTCAGTGACATGTTTTTGTGACCTGCAGTGACCTCTGATCAAGATGTTTTTAACTATCTGTAAAAGCTGAGTTCATTAGTTTGACCTCTGCTGACCTTCAAAAGCAAATTTGTAGAGTTCTTCCGTCAGGTTGTTGACCATCACTCCGCCGCCGCTGGTCTCCCTCAGCCAGGCCAGTCTGGCGATGAAGTCTGTCACCACATTGTTGATGGTGTTGGAGTAGGACGAGACGTGTTTGGGTTTCAACATCCGAGGGTTCAGGATGCTGCGGATGCGCTGCCAGTTGGCCCCCATTCTACAAATGAGGACAAAGAAAAAGAAGATAAAGCTGTGTAACATCTGCACAAGTCAAACTGGAACAATCCTTATCAAGATACAAAAGGTTCTATATGTTTACATGTTTTTTTATTGGCAGTGGGTGAACAGGTTGTGACGTAACTAAAAAACTGAGACCTGCCACGTCTTTGTCAGCTGCCTGTATCAGCCTTCAGACTGATTTCTTTATAAAGGACTTGAATTTTCTGGTAAAATCCAAAGGATGTGATGTCATGCACGTTCCAAAGTGTCTCGCCTCTTTTCAGCTCTGCTAACAGTGAGCAACATTTTACTGGAAGCTTGCAAACTTTGAAATGATACCAGTTTAAATTGGAAATGATTACATTTGACTAAAGGGACCACAGAGTGCTGCCGAGATGATGTTTCCCTGTCGGCCGATGTGGACGTTAGCATCGCCCTGGTTCCCTCGTCAGAAAGCCAGTGGGATTTTTCCATTGAGTTTTAGATTATTGCCATCCTGTTTGTCAGAGTTCTCCAACTCCAAAACCTGACAAAGCCTATTTAACTTTGTTTCACCTGTTAGGATGAGTCAGGTGATATTTGCTGATATTTTTAATCTCATCAGCAAATTCCATAGAAAGACAAAAACCAACCGATTCTACTGACAGGTATTTTTTTTGTGTATTCATCCACTTGTCCGTCAGTGTGCTCCGTTACTGTCCAAAAACCAGACATGGGGGAAAGTCACACATATGCAAGTCTCAAGCAAGTCCCAAGTTAGTTGTGGTGAGAATCAAGCAAGTCAAGTCCCTGCTATAAGTCAAGCAAGTCAAGTCGAGTCGTTGCTCAGGTCAAGCAAGTCACAAGTCAAGTCATATGTCACATACAGCAAACATCTCCTCACGATCCACTCGCTACGTGTCCTCTGAATATGCTGTGAAAAAGTCCGGTCTCTGTAGGCAGCCCAGGCTCCGCACATGGCAACAACAACATTTGGGTCCAGGCTGCACCAACCAGCCAGCGCCAGACCAGCCAAAGCAAGCACACAGGGCTACATCAGGTCTACTGCTCTACTATTAAAGCAGCAGACCCTGGTTGTGGGTTGAACGGGGGTCACAGACAGGAATACGGCAGAGCACTATGGCCACCGCAAGATAACGTGGTTTACCAGCGACCAAGAAGCCCGGCTACAGGTCCAGTAATTTCCTCTTGGTTGGTGTCATGCTCCACAATGACTTAGCACCCAGCCCACTGTGGGTCTATTAGGGAATGTACTAAAATATACCAACCAGGCTGCATGATGTGTGTGGTTTATGCACTGATGAGGGACTGTCCCCCCCCCCCTGTAGCCACAAATATTTTTCCTTGAACTTTTCGAAGTGACTGGTGGAAAATGTATGACCCTTCACGATCTAATTTAAAAAAAATCACTTCACTTCAATTCTCTACCACAAAAAGGCTGTGCGGCGTGATGACGTTCTGTAGTTAGCAACCGCCTTTTTTTTAAGATACATAACAGCTTCAAAATTCACAGTGGGTTATTTATGGACGTATTTTCTGTCCTACGTTATGGGTGAAAGGTGGGTGCACCTTTTTTTTTGCTGGTTTCCTGTGTTTCTTCTCTTTGTTTGTGTTTGTTTGCTAATCATTTTTTCTGCCTTTCTTTACTTCTAAAGTAGTTTTTGTTATTTTTAGACTTTATGTACACCGTAAAATAAATCCACAACTTTTCTTTAACACCCATCTCCACTGTCCTTTTCCTTTTTCCTCGTGTTCATTTTTATCGTTACTTTGAAAGATTGTGATCACAGCGTTTTGGACACAAAGTGGATGTAAAGTTAGAGGATGACTCACTCAGTCAGGGGGCCGTGGGCCTTGTTCCTGAGCTCTCTGTAGCCCCTCCAGTGGGGCATGTCTGTCCGGACCGGGAGTCTCCCCTCCTGCCTCAGCACCTGCTCTATCAGCTCGGCGCTGGCCACGTTCACCACGACCAAAGGGCCGTATTTTGACTTCCACAGAGGGCCGTACATCCTGCTGTGCTCGATCTGTGAGCAAAGAGTTATCAGAGTTATGAGATGTTCAACGTACTAACATAACTCAAAGGGACGGTTTGCCCCAAATTAAAAATACATACCATAAAAAGCCCAAATAAACAAATAAAGGCCTGTCTCCATTAGAGGCCTGCCTCTATTAGAGGCCTGTCTCCATTAGAGGCCTGTCTCTATTAGAGGCCTGTCTCCATTAGAAGCCTGTCTCCATTAGAGGCCTGCCTCTATTAGAGGCCTGTCTCCATTAGAGGCCTGTCTCTATTAGAGGCCTGTCTCCATTAGAGGCCTGTCTCCATTAGAGGCCTGTCTCTATTAGAGGCCTGCCTCTATTAGAGGCCTGTCTCCATTAGAGGCCTGTCTCTATTAGAGGCCTGTCTCCATTAGAGGCCTGTCTCTATTAGGGGCCTGTCTCCATTAGAGGCCTGTCTCCATTAGAAGCCTGTCTCTATTAGAGGCCTGTCTCTAATAGAGGCCTGTCTCCATTGGAGGCTTGTCTCTATTAAAGGCCTGTCTCCATTGGGGGCCTGTCTCTATTAGAGGCCTGTCTCCATTGGAGGCCTGTCTCTATTAAAGGCCTGTCTCCATTGGAGGCCTGTCTCTATTAGAGGCCTGTCTCCATTGAAGGCCTGTCTCTATTAAAGGCCTGTCTCCATTGGAGGCCTGTCTCTATTAGAGGCCTGTCTCCATTGAAGGCCTGTCTCTATTAGAGGCCTGTCTCCATTGAAGGCCTGTCTCTATTGGAGGCCTGTCTCCATTAGAAGCCTGTCTCTGTTAGAGGCCTGTCTCTATTAGAGGCCTGTCTCTATTAGAGGCCTGCCTCTATTAGAGGCCTGTCTCCATTAGAGACCTGTCTCCATTAGCGGCCTGTCTCCATTAGAGGCCTGTCTCTGTTAGAGGCCTGTCTCAATTCAATTCAATTCAAAGAACTTTATTTTCCGGTTAGGAACTTCATCTGTGAAGAGTGACAGTGCATATAAACAAAATAAATACAAATTAATTAATACATTAAAGGCCTGTCTCTATTAGAGGCCTGTCTCCATTAGAGGCCTGTCTCCATTAGAGGCCTGTCTCCATTAGAGGCCTGTGTCTATTAGAGGCCTGTCTCCATTAAAGGCCCTTCTCTATTAGAGGCCTGTCTCCATTAAAGGCCTGTCTCTATTAGGGGCCTGTCTCTATTAGAGGCCTGGTCTGGTTTCCAAGTAGTTAATTTTTCTTTGGATGTATAAAACCAGGTTGGTAACTACCCACTTGAGCTAACATTAGTTAGCTGCTCTAACTGCACATACAGATATAAATGTTTAAACTTTTGTCAACGTGGAGATGGTACACATCGTTAGTTTATTTTATTTTATTAAAACCATGAGCACCAGTTATGAATATTGTTTTAACAGGATAAAGTGGTGCAGTGTCAGTATGGTGGGTGCTGTAAAACAAGTCTCATAACATAACATATAACTGATATGTTATTTGAAGCCACATTTTTATACAAGTAATATTTATACTGGTTCAAATAAGCAATTTGATTGTATATCTGGATCTTTGCTGAGCAACAGTTTTGTGTGAAACAAATTAAAGTCCTGTGGAGCCAATAACAGCCCCGGCTACTGACTGAAGTTTTATGGTATTTTTCCTCGCAGCTAAAGTGCTGTTTATCAGCCTAGATCAGAACTGGCCCACCAAAGGGTCCAACCACTGGATGAACCTGCACATCTAACAGTGATGCACATGTGGAGGCTGAGAGGAGCCAGGTCAAACACTGAGAAGCTGTCTGTGTTCATTCTTCAGAGGCTTCAGCCCTAAACCTAAACTAGATTATAATTCATTTGAAAGCCTCGTTCTTAGTGTTTTACATCCGACCTGGAAAACCTCGCAGCCACTTTTATTTGTTATAGTGTACCGTGCTCCTGGCCCGTATTCTGAATTTGTATCTGAATTCTCAGAGTTTTTATCCAGTTTAGTTCTTAAATCAGATAAAGTTATTATTGTAGGCGATTTTAACATTCATGTCGACGTTGATAATGACTCCCTGGCTACCGCGTTTATCTCATTAATAGACTCCATTGGCTTCAGTCAGGGTGTACATGAACCCACTCACTGTTTTAACCATACCCTCGATCTAGTTCTGACGTATGGAATTGAAATTGATAACCTAAAAGTCTTTCCACAGAATCCCTTGCTATCAGATCATTATCTGATTACTTTTGATTTCTTTTTACTCGATTACACGCCACTCAGCAACAGTTACTATACTAGATGTTTATCAGATAGTGCTGTCACAAAATTTAAGGAAAAGATTACTTCGTCGTTAAATTCAATACCAATACCTTCAGTAACAGAGGTTTCCCGTGCCGACTTTAACCTCTCCCAAATTGATCATTTTGTTGATAGCGCCGTAGGCTCGCTGCGAACAACGCTCGACTCTGTAGCTCCTCTTAAAAAGAAGTTAACAAAGCAAAGAAAGTTTGCTCCTTGGTATAACTCTCAAACCCGTAGGTTAAAACAAATATCGCGAAAATTTGAAAGGAATTGGCGATTAACCAAACTGGAAGAATCTCGTTTAATCTGGACAGACAGTCTCAAAACTTATAAGAGGGGCCTCCGCAATGCCAGAGCAAACTATTACTCAGCATTAATAGAAGAAAACAAGAACAACCCCAGGTTTCTTTTCAGCACTGTAGCCAGGCTGACTGAGAGTCAAAGCTCTATTGAGCCTTGTATTCCTTTAGCCCTTAGCAGTAATGATTTTATGAGCTTTTTTAATGACAAAATTCTAACTATTAGAGGCAAAATTCATGACCTCCTGCCCTCAGATGGTAGGCCTACCTATCTAACCTCAAACACAGCTGTAGAATCTAATATATATTTAGATTGCTTCTCCCCAATTTCTCTTCAAGAATTGACCGCAGTGATTTCTTCATCTAAATCATCAACGTGTCTCTTAGACCCCATCCCAACTAGGCTACTTAAGGAGGTCTTTCCTTTAGTTAACACTCATATATTAGATATGATCAATATATCCCTATTAACAGGCTATGTACCACAGTCTTTTAAGGTAGCTGTAATTAAACCTCTCCTAAAAAAGCCCACCCTGGATCCAGAGGTGTTAGCCAACTATAGACCAATATCTAATCTTCCCTTTATGTCAAAGATCCTTGAGAAAGTAGTCGCAGACCAGCTGTGTGATTTTCTCCAGGATAATAATTTATTTGAGGAATTTCAGTCAGGATTTAGAGTGCATCATAGCACTGAGACAGCTCTAGTTAAAATTACAAATGACCTTCTGATTGCTTCAGACAAAGGACTCGTCTCTGTTCTTGTTTTATTAGATCTTAGTGCGGCGTTTGACACAATTGACCATCAAATTCTACTGCAGAGACTGGATCACTTAATTGGCCTAAAAGGTTCAGCACTAAGCTGGTTTAAATCTTATTTATCTGATCGTTTTCAATTTGTTGACGTTCGTAATGAATCATCCTTACGTACCAAAGTTTGTTTTGGAGTTCCGCAAGGTTCTGTGCTCGGACCAATCCTATTTACTCTATATATGCTTCCTTTAGGTAACATCATTAGAAATCACTCTATAAATTTCCATTGTTATGCGGATGATACACAGTTGTATTTATCGATGAAGCCAGAAGAAAGTAATCAATTAACTAAACTCCATAACTGCCTTAAAGACATAAAAAATTGGATGAGCACCAATTTCCTGATGTTAAATTCAGACAAAACTGAAGTTATTGTTCTTGGCCCCAAACAACTCAGAGACTCTTTATCTGATGACATAGTTTCTCTAGATGGCATTGCTCTGGCCTCTAGCACTACCGTAAGAAACCTCGGAGTAATATTTGATCAAGATTTGTCTTTTAATTCTCATTTAAAGCAAACCTCACGGACTGCATTTTTTCATCTGCGTAATATTGCGAAAATTAGGCCTATCCTGACCCGAAAAGATGCAGAAAAATTGGTCCACGCTTTTGTTACCTCAAGGCTGGATTACTGTAACTCTCTATTATCAGGTAGCTCTAGTAAGTCCTTAAAAACTCTCCAGCTAATTCAGAATGCAGCAGCACGTGTACTAACAGGAACTAAGAAACGAGATCATATTTCTCCTGTTTTAGCTTCTCTGCACTGGCTCCCTGTAAAATCCAGAATTGAATTTAAAATCCTACTGTTAACTTATAAAGCTCTAAATGGTCAAGCTCCGTCATATCTTAGAGAGCTCATAGTGCCATATTATCCCACCAGAACACTGCGCTCTGAGAACGCAGGGTTACTCGTGGTCCCTAAAGTCTCCAAAAGTAGATCAGGAGCCAGAGCCTTCAGCTATCAGGCTCCTCTCCTGTGGAATCATCTTCCTGTTACGGTCCGGGAGGCAGACACCGTCTCCACATTTAAGACTAGACTTAAGACTTTCCTCTTTGATAAAGCTTATAGTTAGGGCTGGCTCAGGCTTGCCCTGTACCAGCCCCTAGTTAGGCTGACTTAGGCCTAGTCTGCCGGAGGACCCCCCTATAATACACCGGGCACCTTCTCTCTCTCTCTCTCTCTCTCTCTCTCGTATTCTATTACTGCATCTTGCTAACTCGGCCATTCTGGATGTCACTAACTCGGCTTCTTCTCCGGAGCCTTTGTGCTCCACTGTCTCTCAGATTAACTCATATCGCAGCGGTGCCTGGACAGCGTGACGTGTGTGGTTGTGCTGCTGCCGTGGTCCTGCCAGATGCCTCCTGCTGCTGCTGCCATCATTAGTCATTAGTCATACTTCTACTGTTATTATACACATATGACTATTGTCACACATGTATACTGCCAGATATTAATACATACTTTCAACATATTGTACCACAGTAGCCAGAACTATAACTATAATATTATTACTTTCAATAATGTTGTTGTAAGCTACTGTCATTACCTGCATCTCTCTCTCTCTCTCTCTCTCTGTCTCTGTCTCTCTCTCTCTCTGTCTCATTGTGTCATATGGATTACTGTTAATTTATTATGTTGATCTGTTCTGTACGACATCTATTGCACGTCTGTCCGTCCTGGAAGAGGGATCCCTCCTCAGTTGCTCTTCCTGAGGTTTCTACCATTTTTCCCTGTTAAAGGGGTTTTTTTTTGGGGAGTTTTTCCTGATCAGCTGTGAGGGTCATAAGGACAGAGGGATGTCGTATGCTGTAAAGCCCTGTGAGGCAAATTGTGATTTGTGATATTGGGCTTTATAAATAAAATTGATTGAATGATTGATTGGTTTTTCACCCCGACCAGAACAGAGCTCAGCTCAACACAGCTTTCTCTCACTTTAGTTTGGTGACGTCAGGATCACGACACAGCAGTGGAAATGTACAGACTAACGCACATGTAATGACTGTGAGCAGCAGACTGTGGAAATATTGTTGAGATTGCATTTATTCTTCTGAAGACGTCACAGGCTGTTTGTCATCTGTTTGTAAATGGATTAGTGTTTTTAAAAATGTACTTCTTTGTTGTTATTTTTAGGACACTATGCAGTGATTTACTGCTCCGGTCCACCTGCAATCAGATCAAATCTGACACCTCTGGTCGAGACAGTTCTGGTGTGAGCTGCAGAGTGTTGAGATATGGGCCGTAGAGATGTCTGACTTCTCTCCAGTATAACAGAACTAGATGACACTCAGCTTGTGGAGCTCAAACCCACAGACCTTGCTGCTGCAGTTTCACACAGAAACTATTTTCTTTCTACTGAACTCCAACTGCTAACGTGTCACTGTGCAGAAGGAAATAATGTGATCATCTGAACTTTCTCAACATACCATCTTACATAACCTTCAGTTAGTGTTGTCGCAATACTTTGATGCTGTATTATCACAAGGTGGCACACAACAGCACAGGGCATGTTTTTATGTCACCTGATGCTGGAAAATGTCCCTTTGTACCTGAATGCATCACACAAGTGCCCCTTTTAATAAAAAATAAAGTGTATTATGAAACTATTTTGATTATGAATCAAACATTTAATAAAATTCAACATACTTTAATCATGGTTGCTGTGATACCCTTCACTGCAGCTCGCTTGGAAACAACTTATTATCTTTTATATTTTATTTTCAGATCTTTGTATTTTGTGCTTCACTTTCTCTTTACTGGTTCTTTTCTGCATGTTTTGGGGGTTTGTTGTGTTATTTCTCTTTTTCCACTGCACAGCACTGAGGTCAGCTCTGGCTCTCTTTAACCCTGCTTTAGCCTACATTTGACCTGATCTGAACTCAGACAAATCAAACTGATACGGTAACGATGCAAAAACATATTTGGTGACTGGCTGCTAAAATTCAAAGAGGCCAAAATGTCAAAGCTTATTTGTCCCATTTTATCTGACTTCACCTGCAGTGACTTGTCAACAACAACAACAACAGCAGCACAGCCCCCTCCTCTCTCCTCCTGATCCCACTCGCCTGCATCTGTTGCGTCGTTTGGAAATAGCCTTTAACAAAGAGCCAGTTGAGGGTGGTCAGGAGACTCGGGCCGCCTAAATCATCCATAGTCTTCAGTCTGTCAGCCATCACGGTGGAGGAGGAGGTGGATGCGTCTCGGCGGTGGATGTCTCCATGTATCCTTAGACTCAGCCCGGCTGTGACTCTGTGAATCCCGTCATGATGCCGTCGGTTCAGTCTCAGTCCGGTCAGCAGCGTGTTTCGGAACATGTTACCGGCGCAGTCTGTGTGCAGGAGCCGAGAGAAGCGCGTCAGCTCCGGGCTGCGTCAGTGTGCGCTGTGCGGAGCCGCAGGGTGGAAATAATGGCTCTTTGTTTGCAGTGGCACCGCGAGGCATACAGATCCAGCCTCTGAGAACAAGTGTGGACTTTGATAACAGATCATCAACTGCAGCAGAACAAAGGTGAACTTATAACACGCTCACCTGTTGATCATACATGTTAGTAATGTGGGAGAATCACTTCCGCGCAGGTACAGCACCGTATCTGTGACATTTCAATCAGAATAAACTTTATAATAAACTCTGAGCTCCTACTGCAGCACAGACAGGACAGCTGCTGAGGCAGGGTACAGTGAGGAGGAGGAAGACAACACGAACTGCCCGGATCATAACTAACTTGTTAAAGTATGAATATCCTAGAAACCACGTGTCTGTAACACACACATCACACCACAGCGTCTGAGTGAGCAGTAACACCTTTGTTCTGCATCAATGGGGCTCGAACCCTCAACCTCAGGCACGTCATCATCTTGTTCAGATACCTGTCAGCCAGGGGCATAAATATAGACAGTGCAGGCAGTGTGATTGCACCGGGGCCCCTGGGGTGGAGGGGCCGGTAGAGAGAGTGGGCCCTTGCCACCTTTACATTTCCCTGTGTTCACAGATAAATGGTAAAAAAAAAAAAAGTGTAATTTGTTATTTTAATTTGCTGTATGTATCCAGACAAACACATCTGTTTTTTTTATTCTTTTAAATAGTCAGTCACTGTCTAAAACATAAATAAAATACATAATAATAATAAAATCTATAAAGGTACTATAAAAATGTTCAATTACCTGATTCATTTCTCACTTTCTTTGATTATTTTTGTAGAGTCCAATTTTTTAAATGTCATCTTTCAATGCTGCTGACAGCATTAATAAAATGTAATTAATCTCCACTGATCTGAGTCAAGAAACACTTCAGATGTAATATCATATGGAGGATGAATAATGACTAGAGTATGATAAATATGGGAATAAATCAGTACAGCAATAAAGAAATACAGAAAAAACAAACGTGTAAATAAATGTGGAAATTAATAAATTAATTTATCAATAAATACAGGAATAAGTATTAAATATATATGCATATATGCATGTGTTCATGAAGCGGGGGGGGGGGGGGGGGGGGGGGGGGGGGGGGGGGCAATATGAAGTGATGAAAGCACATTAATGTGCTCACATTTTATGGTGGAGCTTTCAATCAATTCTGATTTAATGCTGGATAGTTACCCAGAGAGAGATACATCTTCTGATGGCTGATTCTCATCATGGATCAACTGTGTGATGTCATCATGTCAATATGGACCATACAACCTACCTAATAAATGTACCTAATAAAGTGGCCAGTGGGTGTAAATGTGTTACATTAAAGCACGTCTTTGTGCCATAGTGCAGATACATTTCCATTCTTGTTCTTTTTACACTCTTTGGACAGTTTTGCACAAACAGCTCTGCTCTTTTGTTTTAAATAAATAAATGTTCTGTGATTCTTGTATATTCGTTTCTTGTCTTTTGTGATCCTTGTTTTTATTTTCACTTCTGTGTTTACGTCATGCACCGGGACACAAAGTCCAGGCTTTATATGTGAGAGCTCCGCAGTAACCAGATTCTGATTCTGAGACACTCGAGTGTTTTCATGCATTGTACAACAAACAAAAGAAAGGGCAGAGTGTGCTGTGAAGGTGTCGCATGACTAACAGTCTGTGTTCAGGCTGAGAATGTTAGAGGAGATTCAGTTTCAGCAGCTGGCAGATTTCCAGAGATAAATTCCTTATGTTGAGAAAAAAAGGGGCAGAAACAGGCTCAGTGCCAAAAGATACCACACAGGTCTTCACATGTGGAGTCTCTCCCTCGGGCTGCAGAGACAAACCTCGTTACACTGATGAGTTTTTAAATCTGAAGAAAAACATTCAGAGTATTGTGTGTTATCTTACAGCGTGTGGAGGGGCAGTGTGAAACTGTGACAGTTTCACTATCAGAGAGGACGCAGCCGTCGTCTCAACTGCATGAGAACATAAATTATTGTTTCAGTTGAGCCGCACATCAACTGAACCAGAGCTCAGGCAGGACAGAGACAGAAGAACATGTGTCAGACAATCAGTGTATTCAGAGTGCGTCCACATATTAACTGTAAATTCAACACTGAGGAAGAAGACTAACAGGAAGGCAGACGGCATCCAGGATGTCCTGCTGTAACCTGACGAGACCCCCGGGGTCACCACGACAACAGATGTCAGCGCCTCTGTGGCAGCAACACGGTGGTTTTCAAACAGAAATATACTGTGATCAGTATGACAGATGATAAATAATCAAACATTTCACACACGCTGCCACAAAATTATGTAAATAATAATTCACCCAAAAGCACAAAAAATTATTAAAATCTTTATTTTTCTACAAAGAAATTTCTCTCAAATAGTTTACAAATGATCCTCTGAGGCCACCGTCCTTAAGGCTAAACACATTATTGACTTAAGACGTCTTCATTTCAGTCTCTGTATTAGTCAGCTGGGACACCAAAGAAATGCCAGAACATAAACAGCAGCTTCCTGTTGGCTGACGCAGCTCAGCAGGGATGTGGCACCTGTGTTTCAACAGGCCGAGGCAAATAAAGGCACATGGCGTTCTCTCAGACTCACTGAGACGCAGCATCAAAGCATCTGGCTTGTTTTACGCAGCACACTTCAGACTAACTTCCAATCGCTTGGCTATTAAAATATATATCAAATATATTAAGCATCTCACCGTTGGTCGAGGATATTTTGAAATATAAATAATTAGATTCAAGTATTGCAGGTTTAAAGCTACAAAGCACGACTCTCTCTGAGTCAACTGAGTGCTCGTGCACCGCCTCGCCAGAAACTGAAATATCACAATTAACAAGGTCACAGAGACGTCTTCATTCTTAAAGCTACAGCAATCATCATCTATCAACTCTCACCTGAAGCTCTACAAAACATTTTAGAATCTTTCAGCTCGTTATTTTGGTTGAACCCAGTCACCAGAGTAAATGTAGGGGTTATACGTTTCTGCAAACTAAAGATACGTTACATTTGTACGTTGCAACTGCTCTATCCCGGCTGGAAAAGTAGCAGTAATTCGGTAATAAAAAAACAACTTTTCAGAGCACTATCCCAGCTGCAAACACAGCCATGTCTCGATAATAGGGAACCCATTTTTGTGGCTCTATCTCAGCTGCAAACACAGCAGTGGTCTGCAGCTTGGCGAGCGTTGACACGCCATCCACCTCCTGATGACAAATCAGCTCGTAAACTGCATCACTTAAATGTACACGTGTACGTACGTGGTTTTCAGAAACGTGCAAAGCCAACATTTTTGTCCGGCAACTGGGCTGTTTGGTTTTCAAACTCTCATCACCTGTTTCCAGTCAGAGCAGCCGTGACCGACCAAAAACAGAAAAGAAACTGTGCATCACCTGCTCAGAGTCAGTCAGAGCTGATAAGTGACTTCTACATCTGTAACTGAGCGACTGTTTGCTTCCACTTTAATTCATCACTGGCTACGTTTACATGCACACTATTATTCCACGGTAATTCCAAATATGACGAGACTCTGAGTTTAATGGGGCTCATGTAAAGAGCATGTTCCATTTAAATATTCTGAATCAGGCCTTTTACTGAATGTAGGATTCTACGATAAAGACACGTGGAATATTAGCGAATTATTCAGGTTTTAATAGCATTATTTGGGCACGTCAGCTGGAGCTTTACCAGCAGTTTGCACCATACGGTCTGTGTTGTCATGGAGACGTACACAAACCAACTTGCCAACCGGTTGTGAGGCCTGTGTAGACATGCAGAAGAAAAGCCAACATTTCAGGTCAGAGAGACACACACACACACCTACTTTTAAACTTCATGAAAGACTGATAGCAACAGGTTTTGGGCAAATATCCCATCACAGGCCATTTACTGCAGGTGTGGTGGCTGAAGGAGCGAAAGAGGAGGGCTGAGTTCACGAGGTCAAAAGAGTTTGGAAACTTTGAAAACATCCGTTCCACTTCTCTTTATGTTGATGTGATAGAAGACATGTTGGGGCGCGCTAATTGGAGTCTGCACGGCTGCGTGTGAACAGGAATATTAGTGATATATTCATTTTCATTACCATGCTCTGTATGAATATTGTCTTTTTCAGAATGAAGGATATTTTGTGCATGTAGACATACTCAGCATTTTGTTTTTAGCTTGTTTCACAGCACTGCAGAAAGTTTTTATTTTATTTGAATTAATGCAGCTTTAAATGAAAATCTGTTGACGTCCTGCAGTTTCAGTGATTCAAAGCTAAAGTTTCTAACTTTACTATAATTCTGAGACAAAAGCAGAAGACTGCTGCATCAGTGTGGCTCGTCCTAAATAAAGTTTAATGCCTGTTGGGCAGATTCATGTAATGCAGCTGAACTGAAGCTATTAACCCACATCTGACCTAAGGCACAACAACATGTCCTGATATCACTGAACTGAGATGCAGAAACTCCAGAGGTGGTTTAACACGACTGACTGTTGGGCAGTAACATCGTCTACACTTCATGAACACCGCCGTCGTTCTGCCTCTGATATGTTTGCTCAGTTTAACCATAGATGTGCAACCAGAGAGATGAAATATTACAGATAGTTTGTCATAATTTCCTGCTTCTCTTCATCGCTCTAAACCAAGGCATCTCGCTAACTTGCAGTCTTCACATGAAAAAAGAAAAAAAAAAAAAAAAAAAGCACCATGAAGCAAAAACTGAGACAAAAAGTTTGTTGGCGGAGAAGCAACAAATGATCTTTGCTAGCAGAAATGTGGATATGTAGAGAAGACAGTCCCACGTTAAATGAAACAAGACACTGACAGGTGTGTACCCGCTTCCTTTACTCCCCACTGAAAATCCTCCTGATGTCCACAGACGTCCTCGCATTGTTCAGTCACTCTCACTGCCTGATTCACTCAGCTGCAGGTCGCTCTCTGCAACACAAGAGAGAACAGAGTTTTAAAGCATCATTAAACAACATGAGTCCTTTGTCCTGCAGCGTGTCTTCAGTATTTGATTGATTCGTTTTAGTGGGTTCTCTGATCCGACAAAAGATCATAGTCATGAATGTAGAAATACTGCAGACATAAGTCTGACTCCCTTCTATCAAAAAGGGTTTTTTTTGTTTTCAAAGATTTTTTGGGGATTTTGATGAAGTGTGAAAGGGGCAGAGAGAGGGAGGATGACATGCAGCAAAAGTCGTGGGCTGAAATCGAACCCACAGACACTGCTTTTCTACGTAGGATTCTACATGGGGTTCTCTGATCCTTTAGTTTGAATCCTTTTAAGGCCAGTTCAGACCAAAGATTCCAGACACAATGAAACGGTTTAAGGACACTGCAGAGAAAAGTTGCAGTGGTCTGAAAGACTCAGATCCTCATGCATGAAGGGATTCAACCTGTTCATTCACAGGCAATGCGTCACAGACCATCTTGAACCTTTTAACCAATCAGCGGCAAGCTCGTGCTTTTTTTTTTTTGTACAGCTGAGCACCCATGTGGGCTGTGCAGATGGGCACGTGCTGTGGCTGTTGCGCGCACACACACACACACACACATACACACACAGCAGTGGTAGTAGTAGCTGTCACAGTCAGACATTTTGAGGACAATGCAATACAACGCACATAAACGGTAACGTTAGGGTATCAAACTACAGACGGTCACGTGCAAGAAGAACTGTATGCTGCGCTGATGCATCCATGAGCTCTCTGGGGTTTGTTGTCCAATCTCTGTGCATATATGCAGATTTTTATACTTGAGAAAAGATGCTAAACGTAGGCAATAGACTCATTTCCCATTGTAGACGAGAGCCGTGTGCTCAGCTCTGCTGTAGACGAGTACGCCATTCTGTTTGTTACACTAATGTGTCACATTCAGTGTCACAGATGTGCTGGAAAAGTGAAAATATAACGGTGGTTCTTTCTTTTTTATGTCTCTTATTTATTCAGACTCTCTTTTAAACTCAGTGCAGAGAACGATGTTCCAGTACTGTGTGGAGGGAGACATAATTTGTGGCGGTGTTTCATCTCCTCGCCACAGAAAAGGGGCGAAAATTAGCCTGTCCACCTGGGTGTCGTATTTCCATCGCTGCCGATGGAGACGATAAATACCCAGGATTACTGACTCATTTGTCCCGAAACGAATGCTGCTTGAAACGTGTCCCATAAAATACAAAAGCCAGAAGTTGGTGGGTGATAGTTTTGTTGTCCAGTGGAAGAGGAGCTTCAGTTTAATAAATATGTAACAAAGTTCTGTTTTGAAATTAGAAGTTAAAATTTAACAAAACACATTGAAATAATTATCGACAGTAACTTGCAAAAAGGGGGAAAAACTCAAAGGGGCTTCAAGCCGTAAACATGCTGAATCTTTACCCGCCTCAGGAGCAGCAGGCCAACATCAGCTTCTATGTAAAGATACAACATACGGAGTGCTACAGGAGAGGAGAACATCCTCAGACGGAGCTGAGAGGGCGACTCACTGAGTGTGTTCATGAGTCCTCCTCCACTCTCCTGGTGACGGCTGTTGTTGTTGGCGCTGGTGGTGAGGATAGGCATGCTGTGATTGGTCGGGGCCGGGGGCGGGGCAGAGGTCTGTTCGTCTTCTGAGTCGCTGCTGCTGGAGCTGTCGTCACTGCTGGAGGACGAAGAGCTGTTGGAGTCTGAGGAGCTGTCGCCGCTGCTCAGCTGGTCCATGACCCGCGCCTCCGCCATCAACTCTGCAAACAGACGCATACGCACAAACTAAGAGTGAGAAATATGTGATGATTATCTTAATTTATGGGAAAGAGCGCCGTTAAATAAACCTGAGCAGCGTCATCTACATGTAAATGTGCTAAAAAACCAGATGACGTCTCTACAGTTACAGTTGCAGACACTACGTCACCTCTCTCGATGTCGTCCATGGGCGATGCTGGGGACGTCTTCTCTTTGGGTGGAGAGCTCTTGGAGCTGATGGACGTCTTACTGCTGCTGCTGCTGCTGTTGTTGGTCTTCATCTGCTGGCTCAGGCGACTCGTCTGTTGCTCCAGGCGAGAGTGGATCTTACTGCTGCCCTCAGCCCTGCGACAGTCACAAGAACAGTGCCGCAAAGACAGGCAGAAAGTTTCTCATCAAAATGTTGCACCAGTTTAACACAAGGCAGGTTTGTTATATCACACATTTCTGCAACAAGGTGATTCAAAGTGCTCGACATAAAACATCAAAAACATCGAGACAAAGTGCAAAAGACACACATGATAAAATTAAAACCTTAACCAAAGCACCAGAATAGAAAATACAAGCTAAAAAGATATTACGATAGGTATAAAATACAAAAATAAAAGTTACAGTTCAGTGTAAGACATCAATAAATAAAAAAAAAGGACCTGCAGTTTACTGGGAGTTTGTTCCACTGCACAACATTATCATATCTCTCACTGACCTAATTCATGAGCAGTATTTAACCCACCTGGTCTTCTTCACAGCGATGTTGCTGTTGAGTTTCTCCAGTCTGTACTCTCCAGTATCATGATTGACGATGAGGATACACTCCTTCATGTATGGCCTTTTGGAGCCTTTAAAGACCGTTACTGGAGTACTCGAACCCTAAAACAACAAACACACGAACAACACAGACAGGATCGTAGTCAGGATTAAAGAAATACTGCAGACAGAAGACTGAGTCCCCTTCCCCCACAAAAGACATTTTTTTTGATAAAGATTTTTTTTTTTTTGGCTTTTACCTTTACGGGAAAGGGGCAGAGCGAGAGGATGACATGCAGCAAAGGGCTGTGGGCTGTAATCCAACCCACAGCCCTTTGCTGCATGTGACGCCCAATAAGATAAGATAAGATAAGATAAGATAAACCTTTATTGTCTGTCACAAGTAACAGAAATTTGTCTTTGGCAAGCTCCGAAATAAAATAGACAAGGACACTAGGGCCGTAACGGTACATGTATTTGTGTCGAACCGTTCGGTATGTGACTTTCGGTTCGGCACGACCCTGTACTGAATTATTGGGCGCAGGATATTATTTTATATAATTTGTTTTATTTTAATTCCGTTTTTGCGAGCCGAACCATTTAAAATATCTAGTTCCCCAACGGACATAATTGAGTGACGGACCAAGTCCCGTAAATCTCCGCTTTCACTTTGTGCAGCGCATTCTCGCATTTTGACAACATGGCAAGTGAGCCTGACGAACCTGAAGACCCACCCGCAAACCTTAAGTCCTCCGTTTGGGAACACTTTGGTTTCAGGGTAAAATACAGAGATGGAAATAAACAAGTGGACAAGACAAAAGCAGTGTGCCGACACTGCAGAACAGCGGTCGGGTATGTACTTGGAAACACGTCTAACATGCTAACGCATCTAAAGCGACACCACCCGAGTTTGAATGTTAACCGGCACGACTAGAAAAAGCAATCTGGTGCAAACTACGATATCGTCGTCGTTTAAAAAGAAAGAGCGTTTCCCTGACCATCGCGCTAAAGAAATAACCAACGCCATTGGAGTTGAGTAAAATTGTTTAAGCTGCACTTTAGATATAAGCATGTTTTGTTTACTGCACTTTAACAAAGTGAGAAAGCTAAGTAAGTTCCTAGTAAAACTGAATCTGAGCAGGCTTTAAAGCTGACCAGCTGCACTATACTTTTTATTTTAATTGAGTAAAACTGTTAAAGCAGAAATGTATATTTATATTTTTCATTCAAAAAATGTGTTAAAAAAACAGCAGGAATTTATTTTTCACTTTTATATTTCTATTTTCATTCAAACAATGTGAAAAAGCAGGATTTTATATGTATTTATTTCATTCAAAAATTGTGTAAAAAGAGTTAACTGCTGTGGTGGTATGTTTTAATAAGGTTACCAATAAGTAAAAGATATTTAATAGTTGTCTATTTTTTTCATTACTGTACTGAAAAAAAAAACGAACCGTGCACTTGTACCGAGGTACGTACCGAACCGAGATTTTTGTGTACCGTAACACCCCTAATGGACACACAAAACACAATAGACATTATACAAGATAAACGACAAAGCAGTGTATCTGGGTGGGACTTCAGTTGTTCAGGGTGGTGATGGCCGTGGGAACAAAAGTTTTTTTGTATGTGTTCTTCCGGGAAAGTGGGACTTTGTAACGGTGACCTGATGGTAATAGTTGGAAGGATGGGTGCAGGGGGCGGGTGGGGTCCAAAGTGCAATATACCCACTGAGCTACTGGGCGCCCCCCCTCCCAAAGACTTCTGACCAGACACCACAATAAAGATTAAAACTGTACAACTTAAATTTTTGAAAATATTAACTGATAATAATGTGTCTTCAGTAGGTGCTGAGGCCCTGAACAGAGTCAGGGTTGGAAATGAGCTTTTTTGTCCACCTGCTACTGTGGCTGATGGATTCTCAATCTACCAACCGTTTAATACATTACCACATTTACATGCTTGAGTGAAGCAGATCCAGCAGCCACTTGCATGTTTTACCAGCACTTGGCTGGAGGCTGGTGCTGATTTCCAACCCTGCACAGAGTGTTCAACGATGATTTGTGAAACCTAGGGATGCACGATACTAGATTTTTTGTCGATATCTGATATGCCATTATACTAGTGTTGCACGGTATACTGGTACCAATGGTAGACCGCGGTACTTAAACACCACGGTACATATGATACCATAATGTTGGAGTACCGTAGTACTACTGTGGGATAAGTTCAAAGTCCAGTCGCAAGAGGGTGAGTGTCCATGCGCTGTCCAATAACAGTGTGCGCTGGCTACCTGGCATTCAATATGCTGCTGCAGTGGTTTGTATCCAGTGACATGTCAGGTATTAGCTGAGCTATTGAGTATCTTTAAGCAGTGAAAGTTATTATTTATTTCTTTTTACTTGTAGGCTAGATTTGTTTATATATGCTACAGTGATTTGTTTTCCACAGAGCTCTACGCTGCGACATTTTACTCGCATTTGCAACTAAAAATAGTTTTGTGCAAGCAAAAGAAATCATTCAGGAGCACGCTGTATGAGTACAGATTTCAACCAGCAGCAGAAATGAAAGGTGAATCCTGCCGGTTGTGGGTTGAACGGGGGTCACAGACAGGAATACGGCCGAGCACTATGGCCAGCGCAAGATAGCAGCTTACCGGCGACGGAGAAGTCCGGCTCCAGGTCCAGTAATTTCCTCTTTGTTGGTGTCATGACTGCCCAGAAGTACCTGAACAGCCGAGCCGTGGCGGCACACAGGTATGTGGCGTGTCAGAGGAGAAACGAGCCGTTCACATTTCTCTCTGCATGGCAGGTAACGGCCCACAAAACTCACCGCACTTTAGGGACTGTTCTTTACTTATGAAGGGACTGTTCTTTACTTATGAAGGGACTGTTCTTTACTTGTCAGAGGAGGAGGGTGGCTGGTTGATTCTTATTTTATTTATTTATTTTATTTTGATCCCCCCTATGTTAATCACTTATTGATGCTCTTTTTGAAGTATGAATAAGTCAATAATTAATTTATTCCATTGAAATATCATTGATGTATTATAGAAAAGTGATTTATCTTTTTATAAATGACAAAAAGCACTTTCACTGGTATCGTACCATGTGTCCCAATTTTTGTACCGTGACAACACTACGTTATACAACAACTCATTTGGCTGATCACCCATACTGATATATCCACTTTTCCCACCTAATTTCAGTGATCACCATCAAGTCTCTTCTGTAGTGGAATTAACATCGTATTATACATGTATACTCTTATTGCGACGGCCCACCAGCAGATGGAGACAAGAAAAAGTGTTCAGTGTCTGTGATATTCATCTATTGTACAAAATAAGAAAACGCATGTTGCCTGATTTTGATGAATTTAAAGCCGATATTGGCCAACAAGGATGATGTAATGATATCGTGCATCCCTAGCAAATCTCAAACATACACACATATATATTCCTGGTGCAGAGACGCTCTGGTGCATCAGACACTGACCTCTAAATTGGGTAAAGTTATTGTAACTTGCTCTCCTTTGCCAACTTCAAGCTCCCCTTCACACGTCGTATCAATGGAGGCTGGTTTGAAGTCATCTGTACAGGCAAATAAACTTATTTATACAGCACCTTTCATACAAGAAGTGCTTTACAATAAAGGCAATATAAGTACTGAGTGCTTCACATGACACGACATTTAAAACAGTTTAAAACATGGATTAACTGATTCATAAAATCATGGAGTTGTAAAACTATAACACATAAAATCAAGTAAGATTTTAATAGTAATATGATTAGATTTAATATTTGTTAAGAAAAGGAAATGTGCACATTTAAACACATATAATAAACTCAATATTAACATCAGTAACATTATAATATTTCAAAAACACAAACACATTTGGTCCCTCAGTGCTGCAGTTGTCTACCTTCACCACCAGATGGCGGTGGTGTACAGTCTGAAGCGATGCTAACAGAAGCTAACAGAAGCTAACACTCTGACAGTTGGGGCATTAACAGGCTGTAACAGTTGTGACGTAACTAACTTATTAAGACGAAATAAAACACACATAGTTCAGCGCTGAGGGAAACTAACCGACAGCGGGAGGCTACAAACACACTGACGAGGCGGCGGAAGTGTCAAACAGCTGCCTTCGGACCTTTTAGCTACAATGCTAACTAGCATGCTACAGTTAGCCGCCGTTAGCAGCCATACTTACACCGCACTGTGTGGTAGCCGCTCTTCGGGTGCTTCTCAAACGTCTCTCCTAGTTTCAGGACGTGTTCCTGGTTGTCAAAGTTGGAGTAAGCTGTTCCATTCATCCTGACACGCTCATGAACTGGAAACTTTCTACTGCTACTCTCTATCCGATGACCATGTACGGCAAGCTAAAGGTCTCTTTTCCTAGGATGGCGAAGGTATGACCCGCCCTCCTCGCCCTCTAATTGGCTAGTATTCGCCTAAGTTGGTTGGATTGGTCAGGTTTGGGTAAGAGGAGTCTGATTGGTTGGAGTCATGGTAATATTGTCGGAGCTACACTGAGTGACGTTACAGGGTGTCTGGGCTGTGAGGGACTGTTCTCTACTTGTGACAGAGAAGGGGATGGTATCATTACATATGCATGTGTGTGTGTGTGTGTGTGTGTGTGTGTGTGTGTGTGTGTGTATTTTAACAACATATAAACTGTTATACAACATTGCAAAAGAAAAACTGTGAAATAAAAACATATCCATGTATACATATGCACAAAAACAGAAAGCACATCCTGAGCTGTCTGTTTTATTACTATCTAATTGATTTTATTTCCCATTTATTATCTGGTGAAGTGAAGTGTTTGTTTATTTCGGTCACTCAACAAAAAGTACAACACAGCACAACGTAGTATCTCTTATCATTTTAACCAAAAAAGGTGTAGCTTATGAGCTTATAAGCTTATGACGCCTACCCTTCTCTCCTAGTTACAACTAGCAGAAAAAATATATTTTTTGAAGATTCATAATTTACACCATTTCCTACTCCAGTTGAAATGCAAAGGCAACAATACCAACCCATTACACATCACCAGTCAACAATGTTCCACAGCAACAAACAAACAATACTTAAAATACCTAATTCCCAAAAATCAGACATTTTGCTTGTGCGTATCAATCATCTTTCCTCGAGGAGACTTTTAAATCTTTGAAATGTCTCACATATTTTTCAATTCATCCTCAAGATTGTTCCATAAATTCACCCCCTTTATAGAGATGGACATACATTTAATATCGGTCCTAGCTTTTATTTTTTTAAACATATATTCCTCTAAGTTCATACTTAGAATCTTTTGTTTTTCAAACATATTTACAATTTTACTCGGCATAAACTTGTTATGAACTTTATACATTATCTGCACAATCTTGTAATCTACTAAATCCTGGAATTTAAGTGCTCTTAATTTTACAAATAAACCATTAGTGTGCTCTGTGTACTGTGATCTTGTGATGATTCGTATGGCTCTTTTCTGTAAAACAAAGACTGACTGAGTGTGTGTCTTGTATGCTTTTCCCCAAATCTCCACGCCACGCCACTAGATTTTAGTTTTCATTATTTTATCTGCTTGTGTTTAAAATGTATTTAGTTTTATTGTGCAGAACTTTGTATGTTCTGAAAGGTGCTATATAAATAAAGTTTATTATTATTATCATCACGTAGAGTTGTCAGTAAAGAGAACAGTGTATATTGCATAATTTCCATAAAAAGTCCCCTTTAATGTGAATCTGAGTTTGTCAAGTTTGAGATGTTGCATCACTTCCCTAAACCACTGAGTCAGCAGATATTTTTTTATGCACTGGTGAGGGACTAGTGTGTGTTATTTCAGCTCATGGGAGGGATATACAATTTTAAATGGTTGTATTTTGTACAAAACAAACAAAATTACAGCATTAATCAAAACCAGAAACTGTAAAAATGAAATTTATCATTTTCAATTTCCACATAATGTGATAAGATAAACACATCCATAACCACATCTTTCATATGTGCTGATTGAATAAGTTCTGTTGTTCTATTAATCTTTAAGCATCCCTGTTACACATCTGGCCAACTCAACAGATAAAACCTTACATTCTTTCGTCTTTACTATAATCTTCTCTGTTTGCCTTGATGTTAATTTTAAATGAAAATGAGATTTAGTGTTTTTTCTTTCTTTAACTTTATGTTTACTTTTAGTTTTATTGGTGCATGCAATATTTTTTGATTGATTTTGTCACTTTGTCTTTGTAAAATTCTTAAGGAATGTGTCACTGCATATATATGAATGTATTGGGGGGGCTCCATGAACCCTGTGGCAGTGAAAATAATCTCTTTATCTCTTTTCCTTTCTTTAAACTGTTAATGATTGTTAAGCCTTAAATTCTGGGCACTTTACCACGGCCATATGCTCTGCTGCCTGCAAACATTAAAGGATCAACATCTGAGACAAGACGAATGTGGAGATTACAGCAGCGTATTATCACCAGGTTGTTCCAGTGTGGTCCCTCTGTTTACACCACAGTGTGTGTGGGTGGGTGAGTGGTCTTATATGGAGGACAAGTGGAACAGGAGGGGCAGGGGATCATCTGAAATACAAATAAACAACAGGGCACTAATAAACAAACAAACAGTGGGGGTGTAAATAAGCCTGTTCTGTAACATTTGAGCTCAAACTTCATTCCACTCCATTTTTATCAAAAACATTAAAACTGGTGTGTAGATATGTTCAGAACTGCTGTCACATGGTTTGAGTCCAGACCCAAACAAATGTTGGCATTGTACATTTCTGCAAATCACAGGTATGTAACATCTCTATGTTATTATGGAGCAGATATGTTAAAACTTTACTTTTCAATAATGTGGGGTTATGTCAAGACACATATCCATTTGGTAGTGCTTAGGAAAGATCATGTGGAAAAACAGTGCTCACATTTGGTGTCAGAAAAGCTGCTTGAAAACAGCAACAGGTGGCTACTAAATACAATGTTTGGTGCCAGAAAAGCTGCTGGAAAAACAGCAGTGTTGCTGTAAAACACTCAACTTTGGTGAGAAAAGTGGCTGGAAAAAAGTGACAGGTGGCTACAAAATACCCGTAAAAATCCACTGGAAACACAATGATGGGTCGCTACCAAACATCTATATTTGGTCCCTACAATGCTGCTGAAAAATCAGAGATCAGTTGCCACAAAACACCCATGCTCGTTGCCAGAAAATCCACCAGAAAAACAGTGACAGGTTGCTACAAAACCGTTTGTTGCCTACAATATTGCTGGAAAAAACAGCATGACTTGCTAAAAAACAATTGGTTTTGTTGTTTGTTGGTCCTGAACAGTGGTCTGTAGCTTAAAAGATGTCCCATCTAGGTGACATGACATCAACCATTCCTTCCGTGTCCTGATGACAAAGTCAACTCATATACGTCACTTTAGAATTGATGATATAATATGTATGAAACATGCGTAACATATTGATAGTTTGCAGAAACGCACAATGCCAACTGTTTCTTCTGACAACAGGCTGTTGAGTCAAGTCTCTCAAACAGATTATGTTCTGTTTCCATTGGTGTTTCATCTTCAGTTCCACTTAAGTGCGGGGTGCCACAGGGATCTTTTCTTGGCCCGCATTTTGTTTTCCATTTATATACTGTATACTTAAGGAGCATTATCAGTCATCCTTTCATTGTTGTGCTGATGACACGCACATCAACTTCTCCCTAAAGCCCGAAATCATTCACTTCCTGGGCAGTTTAATGGAGTGTGCGACTGCTGTGGAGAAATGGATGACTTTTAATTTTCTGCAGCTAAACTCAGACGAGACAGAAGTAATAATCTTTAACCCCGATCACCTGGAGTGCAAATTACACCCATTTATTGGTCCACTGGCAACTGACATAAAATCTACATCCAGGAAGTGTTGTGAGCAGAGGAGGTGAACATGAGCGCAGACACTGAGCAGAGGATTCGAAGAGAAGAAGATTTATTGTGATAATTTAGAAGGTGAAGATGGTGAATGAAGTCCAGGGGATTTCTCTGGTGGGGATGATGAGGGGTGAGGAGTGGCAGAGCGTGGCAGGTGTGGAGCGAGGCGAGGGGTTTGGAGGTTTTGGGGCTGAGCGGGCAGGTGATGCAGGCAGGAGGGCGAGGCAGTGATCCGAGCACACAGGAGAGCAGAAGAAAAGTCGGCAGAAGAAACACAGCAGGATAAGTTTTCAGTGAATTAACACGAGGTCTGAGTGTGTGTGTGTGTGTATGTGTGTGTGTGTGTGTTACCACAAGTGTTGAGACAATGATGTGGTGATGAGCAAGTGAAGAGCTGGAGGACATACGCTGGAGCACTGATGTGTGATGAGGAGAACCAGGAGGACAACGTCCACACTACCTCACTGTTTAGGAGGCCAGACAAAGATTTAGCTCGTAAAAAATACCTGGATGTTCAACTGCATATGGTCACACTTCTCAAATGTGAGCCAGTATACTTTTCTTATTCTGACCCACAATCCTCTGCAGCCGATGATACGTCACATCGACTGAGCTGCAGACAGATCACAACCTGACAGCTGTCAGGAGCTGCAGTGACGGATGAGCAGCTGAATCGACAGTAATAACTGGAATAGGAATTGTTAAAATGAACATAATGATCATAAAGATAACCGACAGCGAAGGGACACGACTATGAAAATACGATGACAGAGAAATGCAAATGGCATTTTGTTTTATCTCCACAGTAACACTAGGCAGAGGGGTCAAAGGTCAGAGCTGTATTGGTAAATGGACTGCATTGTATAGCACTTTTCTTCTGACCACTTGAAGTGCTTTTTACACTACACAGAGTACGCTACATGTCCCAGTCACACACTGGTGGTCGAGGCTATAATACGCAGAGCCACTCACACACTGATGGAGCAGCCATCAGGAGCAGTTTGGGGTTCAGTATCTTGCCCAAGGACACTTCGACATGCAGACTGGAGGAGCCGGGGATCAAACTGCCGATCGTCTGGCAGGGCACAGGGTGAGAATCTGAGTAAAATTCATCAATTGCAAAACAAGTGAGTGACTGTAATTGCTTCCCCTCATTTTCTGTGTGATTTTAAAGATGCCAGTGTCGTGTTGACGAAGATGGATCACTGAAGGACAAGAATCCTGTTTCAGTGATGAACAGCAGGCAGCAGGGGTTCGTTTCCATGGTTGGGATTAAACAGTGGCCGTCCTCTGGTGATATCAGTTACTGCTGTGGTTGGCCTCGGACCGCGGGAGGTGAGGGTTTGTGTTTCCAAGCAACTATCCACAAGTGAACAATACGGAGGTTTGAGCCACAGCAGAGAGTTCTTAGGTTGTAAAGTAGAGAAAGAGACGACAGTCAGCTCAGTCAGGACAGACTCTGCAGCTCGTGTCTCTACAGTCAGATATATTTATGCTCCAGTTTTATCTCTGTCTGTTGTTTGTGTTAAAGTCATTGTTGAGACTGTTTTTACAGCGTCTGCTAGTCCTGATCTCTCTGATGAAGTTATAAACTCATTAAGACCTTTAGCTTTTAAATAAAGGAAGAGAAAGAAAGTGATTCTGCTCGTTCACTATCGTCACATTAGTGAAGCAGTTTTGATGCAAATGTTGGAACAACAAAAAGTATTTTGAGGTGAGTCCAAGTCACATCTCGAGTCTCGAGTCTGTTACAACCCAGTTACCGGTGCTTCCTCCTCAGGCTCCACTTCACTCAGCTGCCCCACAGACCCGCTGCTTCTTCACGCTTTAACCTGAATAACAAACCGGAGCTAGCTGGGAGCAGCTAGCAGAGCGTTAGCCGCAGCATGACCGGAGGGAAGCACAGCCAGTTAGCCTCCGCTAGTCTCTGAGCTAGCCCCGGCTCTCCGTTTGGATCCAACCGGAGCACCGAGCCCTGGTTTGTTATTCAGGTTAAAGTGGGAAGAAGCAGCGGGTTTATCGGGCAGCTGAGTGAAGTGGAGCCTGCGGAGGAAACACCGGGACCGTCTGGATGTAATAGTCCGTGGAGGTGCTGCGGTGCTCGGCTGCACAGATAGGAAACCCCTCGGCTGACAGGATGTACCACTCTCTCACTCCGCTCTCTCTCACGCAGGCGCAGAACTTACGTGCTACTTGGCTGTCGGATGTAGTCCGTGTAGTGTGTTCAAATGCAACTGACACAGGGCGACGTGAGGCGACGTAGACGACGCAACAGTTGGCTTTCGTCGCCGCTAGTTCTTTGCTGTCGGTTTGGTGTGTCCGCACCTTAACACCTCGGCGAGTCACCTGTTCGAGACCAACAACAAACCGGTTGTGTGTTAGTGACTCACTACTGTGTTTCCAGCAGACTTTGGTCACCAGACGTGGTTGTTTTTCAGCAACCTGTTGCTGTTTCCAGCGAGGATAGAGACATTAAAATCAGCTGGGTTTAGCAAGATGTCGCTGAGTTTTCTAATGCTATGAAAAGCAGGTTTTCTGAGTCAAAACATGATCTTTTCCAAACCATAACCATAAATAAAAGTGGGTTTTGTGCCTAAACCTGACCACACATTAACCACATTGTTGTTAAAACACAAAGTTTCAATGTGTCCGACATCAAGCATGTCTAAAGTCTGGCCTGAGGACTGACTTTAAACAGGAAAATCTATCTATCTATCTATCTATCTATCTATCTATCTATCTATCTATCAAGCAGAGCAGTGGGCAGACTCATCAGGTCTCAGACTGGTCTCAGTCTGGACCCACAGACCACCACCATGATGTGGACTCTCCGCCCCTCCAGCCTGAGGGCGTGCCGGGCTGAGGAGGGGGACATATGGGCTGAGTGTGTTCACAGCCAGCCTTTTGCATCTGAGCCAATCAGGAGCAGAGTGGGAGCGTTCGTCCTATGCTTGGCGCTGCCTTCACTGGCAGTCGGAAATAGAACAACCCTCACCATCAACAATCAACAAAGCACCGTGTGGCCAAACTGTGTCATGGACCCCAGATTGTGACCTGTTGAGACTTCTCCTGGTTATAATTCCTTCAGTGTTTATTGCTGCTAACCACGGTGCAAATAAAAACAGCCGCCTGAAATCAGATTGGCGCTGTCAGGGCCACACAGAACCCCACTAATTAATTTATTCATTTTAACAACAAACAGACTAAGAAACAGTTTATACGCAAGAGCCATTACTGCACTAAACACTGTTTGACTGGCGCTGTGTTTTTATGAGACTGTTTTTACACTGGTTGCTGTCTGAATGTTGTGCAATGTTATTTATTATTTATTTTTACTGTGCACTTTTTTGTCTTTTACTGCATTCTTTTATACTTTTATTCTTGTGTTTTTATCATACTTTTTAAATGGCACTTAAGGAGGACTGCACCTTACAGTTTCGTTGTACTTGTTGCAATAAAGACATTCTTCTTCTTCTTCTTCTTCTTCTTAATTGGAATTCTTCTTCTGGAATTTCTCAATTATGGGATCAATAAAGGTGTATCTTATCTTATCTTATCTTATCTTATCTTATCTTATCTTATCTTAATAGCTTGTAATGGGACTTATTAAATATCTTGGATAAGACATCTCGTGTCTTGTTTTCCAGGCAGTCTGCATTTCTAGTTTTGCTGTTGGAAAACTGTTTGGAAGTAATAAACATCGAATGACAAAAATAAAGACACCAAAAACAGCTGACACGTAATTTTCCATATTTGTTATTATATAAATCACAAATCACTCCACTGCCACGATAACATCAGGCTGTGAGGTGAAGGAGGAAGCAACACAATCACCAGAATAAATGCTGCAAACCACAGATACATGTGTATATTACTACAAGGCAGATATGTTGAAACTCCTCGTGTACTATGTTTGGTTTGATTTAAGTACAATGTCACATGGTTATAGTGAGGAAAAGATGGTGTTTTGCCTGATGAAACCCAGTTCTGGTGGCAGGAAATACCAGCAGGAAATGCATTAAGAAACAATCACTTTACAGGGCACTATCTCTGGTAGTGACACAGTGACAGATCACCAAAAACCCAAATGTTTGGTGGCTAAATCCTGCTGAAGACGCAGAGATGACTGACTCAGCTCACACACCAAGTCACTTTAGAAACGTTGATGATGTATGACACATGCAAATGTAACGTAGCTGTGATTTGCAGAAACGTACAACATTTTCTTCTGGTGTCTAGTAGTGCTAACACATCCTGTCAGTGCAGATCAATATGTAGTGCTTTTCCATTGAAATACATTCTTCTCTCTGTCCTTTGTATATTTTGTCAAATAAACTTTTAGACTGCGGAGAGATTTATAGAGTCCAGACTCAGAGGTGACCCCTCCTTTAATATTATATTTATATGCATTTATAAATAGTTAAATAGATGTTTACTGTCTTCTCTGCTGTTTTTCTGTTTGATTTTTTTAGTTACAATAATTTATTAATTGGAGTTATCTATAAAAATCTGTCTTTTCTAATCACAGTCTCTGCTACAAGACGTGTTCCCAATGTAAAACCGTAAGTGTTGATTTTCCGAGCAGCCCGTGAAGGCAGCACAGTTCCCAAGGAGAACCCCGCATAGGAGCAGAGCTGCTGTACCCGGGATCCTCCGGTGAAATCCCTCCGAGCAGCACGAGGGACGGACAGAGGAGGAAGCAGCGAGCCGCCGGTGTGAGGTCTCGTGTCGGTGTCGTTACTGTCCGGTGTGCACGACTCCCGGTGTCCGTTAGTCCATCAGATGCCTCAGTGTGAGGACTCATCAACCTGCTGGGGAGCCACACACACACACACACACACACACACACACGGATGGAGCTGAAACTCTGAGTGAGTATCTGAATGATACAGATGATGCTGTGATGTGAATATAGAGACAGGAAATGAAACCTCGGTCATTTCCTCTGTGTTTGACCTGAAGGGTTCCTGCAGGGAGTGTGTGTGTGTGTGTGTGTGTGTGTGTGTGTGTGTGTGTGTGTGTGTGTGTGTGATTTTACACTGACATCAGTCTGTATATTCAGGCTCCATGTACAACAGCTCAGTTTGAGGCTGAACTCTGATGACACATTTGCATGTTCTCATCTTCATCATCATCATCCATTGTTTATTCAGGGAAAACTGTGTCTGAGCATGAAACTGTGTTACAGCAGTGATTTAAATACCTGTTGTAACTTGTTCCTTTTATTTGGGGTGAAAAAGTAAAAGCTAATTTACGGAGCTCTGAACTGATCTGAGGAGTTTCAAGGGTTAAAAATTCCTGAGTGTGATGAGAGATGGATTTGAGGAGTGAGGTAGTAGGTTATGTGTTGTAGCAGTGCCTTAAAAACAAAACGACCTTTCACCCTGCAGCTGTCACAGTTTCACTTCATGTCACTGCTCCTGATGTTTTAATAATACAGAAGGTGGAGTTTGTGTCGACATCATTTATTTTACTATTAAATCAACAAGTTTTGAGTTCCTTTGACTGAAATGTATAAAGCTGATTTCACCTGATCAGTTTGCAGCCAGTAAACACACCATCACTGTGCTGTTAACATGGTGTTGGGGCTCAGTGGGCGGAGTGTCCCAGCATGCTGTGAGATTTAAATGAGCTGTAACTCACAGATGTTACCCATCACACAGTGTTTAATGTGTCTGTATGTCTCAGTGGTTCTGATGGGTCACAGCTGATGTTGTGATAAAACACATTGGGCACCATGACCTCAGTTATGTCCCATCTGTGTGGGTATCTGAATGTGTTTTGTCTGTTCCTTCAGTGCAATGCATGGTGGGATTTATACTGTACACTACACGTTTGGACAGCACTACAACATGGTGAAGTCAGCAAACAAAATGGCAACCGCACAAATGTTTGTCTGGACGGCCGACGAGGTGGAGTTGCTACAGTAAATCTACACTATGACGGTGAAGTGTTGATACATTCAACATGCTGAGCAGCACAAGCAGAGCTCGGGAGTCCGCCATTGTTGTTGTGATGGTCGACTTTCTCGCGCATGCCCAGTGACTGGAACCGCAATGCACATGTGCGAAAAGTCTCCGTTTTCAAAGAAACTGCTTACTGCAAGTTTCCATGACAACGGAGACGCTGCTGTTTCCAAAAGATTGCACTCTGGAACCCATTTACAAAACGTTGTGTTTTCAGGCACCCAAAACGCCGCTGTCATGTAAATGATTGGCCAAAACGCAACTGAAGTTCACTGTTTTCAGTTGAAATCGTTGTGGTATAAACCTCAGAAACAAACTCACCAGCTGACTGAAACACTGAATAAACAGTTTCACATTGCAAATGTTTTTCCAACGCTGCTCCTCACACACAGAGGGGCTGCTAACTATGGTGGCCGATGCGAAAACGTGACTGTCTCTATCTAGAGTCAGTGTGTGGTTTGCCCACTCTGGGCTCCTGTAGAAACATGGCGGTGCAGCCAATGAGGACCTGCTCTCTGTGTAGATATAAGTGTCTCATTTTAAGGTATTATTACAGACACTGAACAGTGTTTCATGTCTCCATCTGCAGGAGGCTGTCACCATGAGAGTCTGTATGTATCAGATATTAGCAAAAAATCCAGTATCATGGATCCCTAATTGATATACACTGCAACTTCTATGAGTCCTGCATCGAGGATGTTTTGTCAACCACTGTTTTAAAGCTTGACACTGAACCTTCAGTCTCAACTTCAGGGACAAACAGCCCTTCAAGAGCTCCAAAAAAATGGAAATATTGGACATTTACAGTTGTGCTGCGAGAGGTTGTGTGACATGAGTGAAAGCTTCAGGAAGTGGGATTGTTTTATTAAAGTCTGAAGTGTCTAAAGTCGGTGCCTGGAAGTGGGCCTGTAGGCTCCCGACCTTGAACCTCTTGTCTCTTGTCAGTTGTCCTCAGATGTAGATTTTGATATCTTAGGTTCAGCTGATAAATACTTAAAGAAACACTGGAAACAGGCAAAGTCCGATGCAATCAAGTTTAATGTGTCAACAGGCTCTAACACATACAACTTAGCGAGTCAGACTCTGGAGTGTGACTGAAAAGCTGCTCTCAGAGCCCTGGCTTATATGCTGGTGGAGATTCAAATGAGTCTCCACCTCTTTTTGCTAATCCTTCCCACTCAAGTCCAATTCTATTGGTGGAAAACTTTCCTTTGTGTCCAATTCTGATCGGGCCCGTTTTTAATGGTGTAATGCAGCCTGGAATTTCCCAAATCTTCTACCCTTAGGTCTGGTTTCGCTTTCACTCTATTTTTAAAAAACATGTGAATTTTGGGGACTTTTTTATATAGTCCTCAGTGCTCTCATTCTTATACAAAGTGAACCTTTAGAACACAATATGTGAATGTGTGTGTGTATTACAACATTTGAGTATGTGTTTCATCATTAAACAAGACATAGTGTGTTATAAGTGTGTTCCTATGAATACTTTGACATATACAACAATGTTTTATCATATTCAGATGCAGATCAAGGAGTCTTATAATGCCTTGTACATGAAACATGATTATATGATCTTTTTGTCTCTTAATCAACTTATGTATCTTAACCTTGCTACTTGATTTGTTGAACACGAACTTTTACACTACAAGTCACATTTACATCTCAAGTGATTTGAAATGGAAAAAAGCAGCAAATCATCTCATTTGAGAAACTCTGATGAGCAAATATTGATATTGGAGTCATTAAAAATGACCCAAGTGATTATCTGAGTATCCAAATCGCGCTTGATTGAATTAATTTTGATTCTCTAATCAAATAATGGTCTCAGACTGATCAGTCGGCCCTAATAGTTAGCTTTGTGTAGCGCGAGGCTGCGGCTGCAGCAGAAATGACTCTAAATAAGTTAATGTCATTACCTGAATCAAAGCAGGGAAACAGCTGTTGGGGTGAACTCGCCTCACCTCTGCAGCCTGGACGCTGTCCTCTCTGCAGGACTGTGACTGTGTGTCAGCTGAGGAGACTTCTGTCTGTCGATGTGCTTGATACTCAGGACAGGAGAGGGTGAGACCACGCAGCAGCTGAAAGATTACTGTCTTTATTTCCTGTGAAGCCATTTAGTAAATGAAACAGAGGCAGTGCTGTTGTCCCTCTGGGAGCCCTGTTGTCTCCCTGTTGTCTCCCTGTTGTCTCCCTGGAGTCCTGTAGTAACACATTTTCGGGGATGCCTGGGCTGTGGTGGGCAGGTGCCCCCGGGCTGCGACTGGAACCGCCCCCGGGGCTGATGGGAATGTTGGCTGACGTCCAGACTGCAATCAGATAATGTTAATGAATACGGTAAAATTGTGTTATTTGCATCAGCAGCAGTTTCTTCAGTTTTCCAGGAACGGAAAATCCTCCGGCCGGCTGCACATAAATAGTTGATGAAACCTGAATTAGTTGGAGTGTTTTTTTTCCCCAGGATGAAAGTCACATGACTGGAAAACCATTTGGATTGTCATGGGCGCTCTCACAAAGTCATTCCCCACAGGACGTGTGTTAGTGCGCACTGAAACATGTTCCTGCTTCGCCTGCAGAGTGTTCATTTTGTGTGTGTGTGTGTGTGTGTGTGTGTGTGGTTTAGGCAGAAACGACAGGCCTGTATAACTACCTTAGCAACCCGGTCTCACTCCGTGGTCTCACTTCTGGTGTCAGACACTGACGAAAAAAAGCTGTCTTTTCACATCGGCATGATAGCAATAAAAGTTAAGGCAGCGGAAATCTGAGTAGGCAAGTGGGAGGGCTGATGGATGGGTCCAACAACCAACTTTCACCCAGGAGGCCGGTCTCACTCCCTGTAAGATTGTAAAGCCAAACCCTGTTCTGTTTTTTCTAAACCCAACCACGTGTGTGTGTCAGCTAAACGTAACCACGTGTGTGTTGGCTAAATGTAACCACGTGTGTGTGTCGGCTAAACGTAACCACGTGTGTGTGTCGGCTAAACGTAACCACGTGTGTGTGTCGGCTAAACGTAACCACGTGTGTGTGTCGGCTAAACGTAACCACGTGTGTGTGTCGGCTAAACGTAACCACGTGTGTGTGTCGGCTAAACGTAACCACGTGTGTGTGTCGGCTAAACGTAACCACGTGTGTGTGTCGGCTAAACGTAACCACGTGTGTGTGTCGGCTAAACGTAACCACGTGTGTGTGTCGGCTAAACGTAACCACGTGTGTGTGTCGGCTAAACGTAACCACGTGTGTGTGTCGGCTAAACGTAACCACGTGTGTGTGTCGGCTAAACGTAACCACGTGTGTGTGTCGGCTAAACGTAACCACGTGTGTGTGTCGGCTAAACGTAACCACGTGTGTGTGTCGGCTAAACGTAACCACGTGTGTGTGTCGGCTAAACGTAACCACGTGTGTGTGTCGGCTAAACGTAACCACGTGTGTGTGTCGGCTAAACGTAACCACGTGTGTGTGTCGGCTAAACGTAACCACGTGTGTGTGTCGGCTAAACGTAACCACGTGTGTGTGTCGGCTAAACGTAACCACGTGTGTGTGTCGGCTAAACGTAACCACGTGTGTGTGTCGGCTAAACGTAACCACGTGTGTGTGTCGGCTAAACGTAACCACGTGTGTGTGTCGGCTAAACGTAACCATGTGTGTGTGTGTGTCGGCTAAACGTAACCACGTGTGTGTGTCGGCTAAACGTAACCATGTGTGTGTGTGTCGGCTAAATGCAATTTTTATCAGGGCTGTGGCCAAAACTTTCTAAGAAGCGTGATGTCATTTTGGAGAAACTCAAGATCTCTGTATTTCTTCTTGGCTGCAGCCCTGCGTGAGCGGTCATCTCACCTGGTAGAAAGACATAATGCAGAAATGAGTGTAGTGGCACTTCAAGGCTTTTATCTTTCACTGTGTGTTTGAAC